CCAGTACCTTTCAAAATGAGGCAACATATACATTTGAAGCAACGTATATATTTGCAAAATGTCTAAGGATGTCTCTGTCAATGTAGATAAAAATTAAGTAAATGGTAGTACTGGAATAATTATGCTGCCCAGACTATGTAAACTAAACTGGACTAGGTTATTGACACAGTGCAAATGATAAGAAGGAATATATAAAAATCTTAGTATTGATATATATGTATAAATGTTGATGTTATATTTGCAGTACAATCCGTTTCCAGTATGTACTGTTCTGTCCTGTAACATATAGCAAGAAGAAAGGCCTGGCTTTGAGGGCTTCAGATGTAAAGGCACAAAATATTTATATTATTTACCATGTACAGAATTGTAGGGAAGAAGACTAAAGCAAATCAGTGTCAGCAAGTCACTTCACAAGCTACTCTGCAACCCAAAGACTGATAAAAGAGCCCTCTTCACTTCTAGGTCAAGCCGGTTCTAGTTCATGGGTTTTCTTGGATGGTTTTACCTAAGATCTGCTGAGAGCCAAAAGCAGCATGCCAGCTCTGGTTCTGCCAGGCAAGTCTACCACTATTCCTTCATGCCTACAATAGTATGCTATGGCTGCTTTCCAGGAGACAAAGATGGTAAGAAATGGGACCTGGCACATCTGGGCACACTTTGTTCTATATTTAAATACTGCCTAAATATGTTTTCGAGTCAGCTGCCTGTGTTATCGTGCACAGGTAGTAGATCTTTCCTTAGCTTCTTATCTCTGGCAGGAACCTGCCTGCATTACAGGAAAGCATCCCAGCTCAGACAGTGAGCTCAGAGAGTCATTCTGAAATTAAAAATAGTAAGCATTTGCAAGTCTCTTTGTGGTGACATCAACTGCATAGACCAATAATTGACTACAGAGGTTGGACTGGGCACATAATCATTATGTTCCAAATACAGCTTATCTCAGATTTCTACAAAAAACAATGCCATCTCTTTTCTAAAAACTTGTTTTCCTGCCTAATTACCCTTTCATGTAAGCATAGCATATGTTTTCACTGTATTTTGGTTGGTAAATCTTGTGGCTAAATGCAGCAGTGTTTTTCAAGCAGGCTTTGATTTGCCTTCATAGTAGCAATTTATGCAGGACACTGTTTTCACTAGAAATAGTCACTGTGAATGTTTGCCTATCCTTTTAAAACTGTCAGGTCTATAGATGACAAGTGCTATGCAAATACAAAGTGGTATTATTCGTTTGCTTCAGAGCCGGAGTTTATTCAGTCATTATGGACATAAACTGAGTAATTAGCTATGCTGCCAGTTGATGCCTAAAAATAATTCTTGTGTAGTGCTTGAATTACTTGCCTTCTGTGGAGCTTAATAGTCTCATCAAACCATGGTTGATGATTAAATCCTTAAAATGGATTTTATAGATTACAGTCCAATTCAATATCTTATTATTTTACAAAACACATCCTATGTAGACAAACTTGTATCCAGATATATCTTTTACAGATTCCATAGGAAGACCTCAGATCTAAAGAATTTGCACTATGTAGTTTATTCTCTAATTATTGTATTTGTCAAAGAAGGCCATCTGTGGTCTTTGTTTTACAGAGTTTCAGGGAAACAGATCACATACAGGCCTCGTGGGAGATTTGTAATTATGAAACTGAAAGGCTTTTTACAAGGTACAAAATGAAAGAACAGACAATAGATCTGTTTAGTTTTGTACCTTTAACCTTAGATACTCTGCATCATGAATTCCCCCTTTGCTACTCTATTTCAAGTCATCTGTTGCACTTCTTTCTTCACTCATTTAAATCCTTCTGTTCACATTTCTCAGTTCTTTTCGGTGTGCTGTGGCAACAGAACTGAGAACAGCATTGTCTCATACTGCAGGCAAAATGCAGGTGCTCACACTTGAAAATGTTTATTCATGTCTTGAGTAGGGCTAGGATGAGTGTCCTTTCATATCTCTTGGCCCATGCTCTTGTGTCTGTAGGTACACACAGATGATGCAATGGAAGGTTCTCTCTCTATTGTAATTGTCAGACTGATAAGTTTGAACAGGTGTCTACCTTCTGAAGCGTCTCCTGAATGGTGCTGGCACATATACTGCCCAACTGAGAGTGTATCCAATTTCAGAATCATAGAATCATTAAGTCATAGAATCGACCAGGTTGGAGGGGACATCTGAGATCATCAAGTCCAACCCTTGATCCAAGACCACCATGGTTACTAGATCATGGCACTCAGTGACACATCCAGTGTCTTCTTAAACTACTCCAGGGACAGAGAATCCGCAACCTCCCTAGGCAGCCCATTCCAATGCCTGATTACTCTCCCTGTAAAGAAATTCTTCCTAATATCCAACCTAAACCTCCCCTGGCAGAGCTTAAGACCATGCTCTCTTATCCTACTGCTGGTTGTCTGGGAGAAGAGACCGACCCCCACCTGGCTACAACCTCTTTTCAAGGAGTTCTAGAGGGTCATGAGGTCTCCCCTGAGCCTCCTCTTCTCCAGACTAAACAACCCCAGCTCCCTCAGGCTCTCCTCACAGGACTTGTGCTCAAGTCCCTTCACCAGCCTGGTTGCTCTTCTCTGGATCTGCTCCAGCACCTCAATATCCTTCCTGAACTGAGGGGCCCAGAACTGGACACAGCACTCCAGGTGTGGCCTCGCCAGTGCTGAGTACAGGGCAAGAATCACTTCCCTGCTCCTGCTGCCACACTGTTCCTGATGCAGACCAGGATGCCATTGGCCTTCTTGGCCACCTGGGCACACTGCTGGCTCATGTTCAGCTTCTTGTCAATCCAAACTCCCAGCTCCCTTTCCACCTGGTTGCTCTCCATCCAGCCTGTAGCGCTGCAGGGGGTTGTTGTGGCCAAAGTGCAGGACCCGGCACCTGGCCTTGTTGAACCTTATCCCACTGGAATCAGCTCAACTCTCCAGCCTGTCCAGGTCCCTCTGCAGACAGTCCTGCCTTCCAGCTCATAGACACTCCCTCCCATCTTGGTGTTGTCTGCAAATTTGCTAATGGTGGACTCAATCCCCTCATCGAAATCAATAAAGATGTTAAACAGGACTGGGCCCAGCACTGATCCCTGGGGGACACCGCTGGTGACCGGCTGCCAGCTGGATGGAGCTCCGTTCACCAGCACTCTCTGGGCCCGGCCCTCCAGCCAGTTCTTAACCCAGCACAGAGTGCCCCTGTCCAAACCGTGGCCTGCAGCTTTTCCAGGAGTATATTATGGGAGATGGTGTCAAAGGCTTTGCTGAAGTCCAGACAGACACATCCACAGCCTTCCCCTCATCCACCAGGTGAGTCACCTGATCATAAAAGGAGATCAGGTTGGTCAGACAAGACCTGCCCTTCCTAAGCCTGTGCTGGCTGGGTCTGGTCCCTTGTCCGTGCTGTAGGTGCTGTGTGATTGCACTCAGGATGATCTGCTCCATAACCTTGGCAGGCACTGAGGTCAGGTTGACAGGCCTGGAGTTTCCTGGGTCCTCCTTGCAGCACTTTTTGTGGATGAGTGTTACATTGGACAACTTCCAGTCGTCTGGGACCTCCCCAGAGAGCCAGGACTGTTGGTAAATGATGGAGAGCGCCTTGGTGAGCTCTTCTGCCAGCTCCCTCATCATCCTGGGATGGATCCCATCTGGTCCCATGGACTTGTGAGGATACAGGTGGCTCAGCAGGTCACTCACTGTTTCCTCCTGGATTACAGGGGGCCTATTCGGCTTCCTGTCTCTGTCTACCAGCTCTGGAGGCCAGTTCTCCTGAAGACAACTTGTCTTACTGTTGAAAACTGAGGCAAAGAAGGTGTTAAGTACCTCAGCTTTTTCCTCATCTTTGGTGACTATGTTCCCCCACATGTCCAATAAAGAATGGAGGTTTTCCTTGCCCCTCCTTTTGCTATTGATGTATTTGTGGAAGCACTTCTTGTTATCCCTAACAAAAGGGGCTAGATTGAGATAAAATTGTGCCTTTGTCTCTCTAATTTTCTTTCTACATGATCTAACTATATTCCTAAATTCTTCATGAGCTATTGAGAACCAGCCTGAGGAGCTCTGTTGGGTATGCGCTTCACTGCTTCAGGTTGCTAAGCTGTGGGACAGGGGAGAAAGAATCTGGGCGAAGACACATGTTTTTAGATTGTTGTCAACAATTGGAGAGAGAGACATGATTCATTGACGAGTTTGACAACAGCAACAAAATGTTTGTGACATTATCCAAGGAAGAAGATGCAGATAAGATTTCTTTAATTAAAGTAAGAAATATATTTATACATAATTGAAAATGTCATCTGTATGAATAAAATTATATTCTTTTACTCACTGTGCTCATATCTAACACTTTAGATACCAGATTCCCATTCACAGAATCATTAGGGTTAGAAGACACCTCTGGAGATCACCCAGTTGCCAATGCAGGGTCACCTAGAGCAGGTTACACAGGAACATGTCCAGGTGGATTTTGAATACTCCAGAGAGGAAAACCATGACCTCCCTGAGCAGCTTGTTCCAGTGTCCTGCCACCTTCCAAGTAAAGAAATTCTTCCTCACATTGAGGTGGAGCTTTTAGTTTATGGCCACTGCTTCTTTTCTGGTTTCTAGGCACCATTGAAAAGAGTCTGGCACCATCATCTTGAAGCCTGGCTTTCAGATATTTGTGTGTATTGATGAGATCCCCTCTAAGTCTTCTCTTCTCTAGAATAAACAGGCCCAGCTCCCTCAGTTTCTCCTCATAAGAGAAGTTAACTCATGATACAACTGTGATTATAATATTAATTCAAGAATAGGCCCAAGCAGAAGAAACAGAATTCAGGAGCTGCATAAAGTAAAGAGCAGGTATATTCTACTTCACTCTAAGGGCATTTCTACTATGCTAAACACTATAGCTTTATCACTAGAGAAGAAGCTTTTGTGAGATGATGAAATGATGAAGTACATATTCACCAAAGTATATTTTGGTTTTTTATTAGCATACATAACAGAGTTAAACATAATAATATATATAGCATTCTGAATACAAGAATTACAGTAGCACCATTCTTGTAATGTAAATAATGTAGAATCACAGTATTCACTGAATCTTATGCATAATTCTCTCAAAGTTGTTTTTATAATTTGAGTGAATAAAGACTTGAAAACATTCAGTAAGTTTCCATGTGTAGAAAAAAAGATCTGGAAAACTTTTCTGATATTTTTCAGACTAAAACCTTGATACTGTGAAGTTAATAACAACACAAATATCTGAGAATATTTTGGTTTGGAAGAAGTGCTCCTGTAACCAGTTGCCTATTCAATTTTTCATAGCCACTGTCTTTGAGTCAACTACTTTTCCCCCAAATTTATTTGAAATTGGTTGACATATTTAAAAGATATTTGACAGGGAGTGAAGGTGGTTAAAAGTGACAAGCACACAAAGAACTCACATTGCCCACCCCTCAATAGAAATCTAGGCCAACTACTTGGTTCTTTTCACTGAGCTGTTGCATCTTGGTTTATTGCTCTTAAAAGGTATATGGATAGTTCTGGTGAAATAAATCCTTTGTTTATACAGAAAGTGTGGCATCCATAGGTGAACACCAGAATTTACATGCTCCTTATTCTTACTTTCAGCCTTTTGAAATTCCTCTGCTGATGCTGATCCTCTAAATACTGATTTTTACCTGAGTTTACTCAGTCTAATTCAAAGTATTGAAGACTGGAAAAATCCCCAAAGCTCCTCAGGATTTTAGGCCATCCTTTACTAAAACTTCTTAGATGCAATATTTTCCTATGTTAACAGGAAAAAAAATATTTATTTTTGCTTTCCCTGACTGGAGTATGCTGTATTCATTGAACTCCAGTATTCTAATAATAAAAATACAAGTTGTAAAAATCTCTGAAAAAATACTTCTTTTTTAAGGATAGAAAAATTAAAATTTATTCATAAACATTTGGAACAATTGATTATGTTGAAAAACAATACAGCAGCCTTTCAGAGCAGAAATAAACTTGCACTGCAATATAAGAATTTTCATTTCATTCTTGTATTGTACTAGGTATAATTAGAACAGTAGCAAATACAGTTTGCACACCTAACATTCTATTGTATAGTGAAGTCTTCATATTCTGCAATCATTTTAAGGCAGTTCAAATGAAATACAGAAAAGGGAAAGTTTTCCCTCTTCTCACAAAGACAAACCTGAGGTCACTGTTGTCTCAGATGACATGAGTCATTTATTAGTTACTGATCAAGTAACAAGCACCTTTTTCAAATTCCCTCTCCAGTGATATAATTTATTAAATAATTCAGAGAGGTATTTGAATAATCTCAATAGGCTTTATCAGGATAGCACCAATAAACTTTACAGCTTTTATTAAAAGAGAGTCCTAAAGAACTAAAAGCTTATGCTTATGTCTCTCTTAGTCAATTTTCCCTGGAATTCCATAACACACCACTGAGAGATCTCAAGAGTGCTTTTTTAGATGCTAATTTTTTCTGTAATGAAAACAATCAGAAATAAAATCAGGTCTAGATGGGTACTCAGGAGTACCTGGTTTGGAGACAATTAGCCTATCTGTTGATTTAGAAAACTCCTTAAACAAAAGAGTTAGTGTTTAGCAAAAGTGTCTAGAAGCTTGTCATAAATAATACAAAAAAAAGGTTCTTTCCTATAAACAAAGACTGTCCAGCTACTCACATGCATATTGATTTAATTTGTCACAGGTGAGGAGGGAGGATGAGTAACCAATGCACACCAGAGGCAAGGAGGAGGGATATATACCCTCTGAGACAATGTCCCTCAGCCCAGAGAGAAGAGGTGATTCTGCTGCATCTGTCCCTTGCAGGACTGAGAAATTGTTCTGAGAAACCTCAGAAGGAGGTTTTGCACTTTTGGTGCAAAATTGATCCAGAGGCTGGATGAATTAGAGGATCGAGGGGAGGATCAACTGGTGGCAGCTGGCAGACAGATGGGGGGAATGAGAGTTCATAGGTACAGAGCAAATTTACCCCACTCAGTACCAGACCAACTGTTACCCTGTGGGCGAAGGGAGGGTTTGATAGGAACTTTAATTTTATATTTTTTGGGAAAGTTATGCCTGGTTTCTTTTTCTTTTTTTTTAATGTTAAGGCTGGCAGTTAGAAAGTCCTAAAGCAAGCTTTTGACAGGCCAAATATAAATTTATTATAATGTTACAAAATGGTTATACTGCAACTGCATATATCTAAAATAATAAATTATGGCCAGCTGTTTTTTCCTATTTACTGCTGATTTTTAAGTCTTTCTCAGAAATAAATCTGGATTTTTAAATATTATTTTAAAAACCTCAAATCCCTAATAAGGACTTAGATTAATACTTTTCAAAAGCCATAGCTGCTTTAGTACAAAATATGTCTCATGATTACATTGGTTTATACACACATATAAATCCTATTGATGTTCATGTATCACTGAATATCCCAAGATAATATTCTAGGATTAAGCTTCAATATTTTTTTAATAAATCATGTTTTGATATAACATTAGATGTAGAGATGTACCATTATTTAATTAAACTGAAAATTACACCAGTATCCTTCAATTCAAAAAACAATGAAAAATTTTGGTTAGGAATATGAAACATTATGCAGCTCTATGAACAGATTCATAGGGATCCAAAGCTGGCCTTGGATGGTAGAAAAAAGCCCCCTTTGCTCCTGTTGTACTCTGTCACTAAATCCAGCCATTAGTCCTTTTGTAAGATATTGCACTAGGGCATCAACCAAAGAAGCCTTCCTTACATGATGTTACTCCCCTCGTCACCCAAGAGGACCTGGTTCTAGCCAAAAGTCTGCCCCCATTTCCACCCCCATTCACAACCCCTCCTTTAGAGGAAAGCAAATCAACTGATTTGCTACTTTATTTTTTAAAAAAAGGACTTTCACACAGAAGTGTGATGAAAGCTTTGAGGCACAGCTCTTTGGTGTAAAAATACATACAAGTAAGTGACAGATCAATGTCTTTGGGGAGAATTCAAAACTTAAACCTAGACTTAAACTTTGCAGTGGACCTCTATACCTTGATTAGAGGCCGGTGCATCTGTACCTCTGGCAGCATACAAAATAAACCTCACTGATAATCAGGACAGTTTTCTAACTGCACTCCCATGTCTGCAGATAACATGAATGTCCATACGCTTTCAAAGGCATCCTCCATTCCTTACAACTTTCTTGAACATATATAGCTGTTTGGTTTGACATTCTTGCAATCAGTTGCTTGCCATTTTCCTCGCTTCTGCACAAATACACAATTTCTTCCTCCCACTGGAAAGCGATAGGAGCCTCTTCTCCAGTTTATGTAGGTTACAGGTTCTCCTCCATTCCACTCCCAATGTCCAGGATTGAGTTGGTCATTCAAGCCTGTGTGAAATCAGTAAGACCAAATCAGTGATGTTCATTGTCTCTGGAGTCTGATGCCAAAAGAAGTATGTTGTTCTATATCTTTGTTAAAAAATGCATACAATTTAGTGCTGAGAGAGGAAAAACCATCTGACAGAACACAAATAAAACACAATTTAGTATTTAATTAGGCCACTTCAATTGCAAGTAGTGCCATCTGAATAAGAAAAATATACTTTTTAGTGCCTATCTAAAATGTTTTTCCTCTTTCCATCTATCACAACTCTATGCCCTCATAAGTTTCTCTTCTGATACTTGAGATAGCAAGGAGAATATTATATTCTAGTCTGGACAGCCTCAGATGCCTTCAGATTTCTTCTGCATGTAAAATCCTGCAGATGTTTTTAGACCTTGTTTACACTGTTTAAATTAACAGTTGTAAAATTAGGTTCTGTTAATTAGTACAACATAAAACATATCTTTTCATTTAGCCTCTGAGTTACTAAGAGGGTAATGTGGGTGACATATTTTTAGACAAGCCTTGTCTTCTTAAATGACCAAGATCAGAAAATTGACATAACAGTCTTGTAGTCTTTATTCTTGTCAGCAGAATTTATTTCTCTTGGGTTAACAGAATCATGAGCCCATTAAACATGATCCCAAACTGACTGTACTTTTTAAAGTTAATTTAGTATAGCTAGTAAATTCATCTAAGAAAATTACTGAGCTGACAATTGCAGATCAGAATGGAAAAACAAGAACCAAACTGAGGACAGTATAGCAGAATTCTTCCCATTGCTCGCTAATGTAATGTGCATAATAAGAAATAGCTAAATCTAAAATGCTATGATGAAATGTTCTTTAGCTGATCCTCTAATGAATTCATAAGATTTCTGACACAAGATGGCATCATTAATTTAGCAGGAACATACATAATTGTTTAAAGTTAAAACTAACAAATAAAAAAAAGCTAAATTAAAGATAAATAAAATAACAGTCAAAAGAATGGTGAGATAAGAGTGTAGGAGTTATTTTTATCAGCTTGTGTTAAAATGGGAAAGGTTTCAAGACAAAAACTGTACAGAAATAGGCAACATGGCAAACTCTTCTTTTTGATATAGACTTGTAAAATTAGCCATGTAAATTATGGTTTTGCCTTACGCTTTGCTCTTAAATAATAAAAGCAGCAGAAAGTTGAGTACAGTGCAATGTTTAAAAACTGGGCTGGAACTGCTGTGGCAGTTTCTGCTTTTCAAGGTGCACAGGTGCTTTTCAAGGTGCTTTTCAATGCTCAGAGAGGACAGGCAGTGGATGTACTTGCCTATCCAAAAGGGCATCCTTCTACCGAAGTCCCACAGCCACTGCATATGTTGTTCATTAGCCACACTTGCTAGACTCCCCAAGTATCTAGGCTCAAGGAGAGAGGACAGAGTAATTAGCATTCCACAGAGTGACAGACAGGTCAACTTATCAACAAGGGGCACTGATTCTAGTATAAAGCATATAAATAACTTGTCACAAGAAAAAGACCCCATGACTTACTGGAATGAAAGAATAATTACATGAAGACTAAATCTTAAAATTGTGGATTATTTGGAGAGAAACTAAAGTCCTAATTTCATTTTTCTAACAGAAAAATCAGCTGAGAAACTGAAAGAAATGTGTACAGGAAATATGTGCCTCATATTCACAAACTGCATTTTAAACCATCAGCACAATTACTGATACCATATTTTCCATAAAATAACAAACTTCCTTCACAAAAATTCAAGCCACTGAAAGAGACAGCTTCACCCATTTGGTAGTAGAGCAGACTATATCTTTTTAAGATCAGGTTCTGACAAGACTGAAGCATTGATAACACATTTAAGTGCTGGTGTGCTTCTGAGAAGTAATCTTAGAATGTCCTGAGTTGGAAGGGAACCACAAGGATAGTTGCAGTCCAGTCTTGGCCCTGCACAGGACAGCCCCAAGAATCTCACCATGTGCCTGAGAACATTGTCCAAATACTTCTTGAACTCTGTCAGGCTTGGTACTGTCACCACTTTCATGGGGAACCTGTTCCAGCATCCAACCATCCTCTGTGGGAAAGAACCTTGCCCTAATATCTAACCTAAATCTTCCCTGTCACAGTAGCACATGCACCCTCTAAAATCAACATTCAGGTTGTCACATCATTCCCTGGATTTCCCTCCTCTCCATCTATCCCACCGTCCTTCTTCTTTAGTATTTTTCATGCATATATCCTTTTCAATTTTGCCTTTCAGTTGATGCATTCTGTTTTTCCATTCTTTTGTGAACCTGCACTCAGTAAATGCAGGTATACCACGGGTTTCCCAAGTTGCTCTTCACAAGAAGTTTGATATGTGAAAAGGCTCTGAGATGCAGCACATTCTTCAGAGGGTTGTCTACAATGACTACACATTTAGTTCAGAATGGAGAGCAGCTGTGGTGTGTATAAAGCAGACTATTTCTGAATTAAGTCAATGGATAAGTTCTGCTCTGCATTTATACTTAATGCCAAATACAAAGCAGTATTTGAAAACCCTAGCCACTGAGTGGCCTTGCCACTGACAAGTCTTCCAACCAACACCAAACATTCAAGCACCTGCAGGCTGTTCTTAAGCCACTTAGAGATCAGTCTGAAGTATTAAGACAAATGGCATACTTTAAATTTGTCAGGCACTGTCAGCCATCAGTGGCTCCATTCTCCTACTTATCCATCTTTCTGTTTGCAATGATATCATGTCACCTTTTTATATGCTATGCCTGCTGCTGCCATCCCTCTAATGCTGAGCCTCTGATGCCATCATATCTGTCCAATAGTCTAACTGCCACTCAGTCTAACAGTGATGCCAACTCCTTCTGAACATCCTGGGTGATGCTTGATAGGCACAAAGAAAACAACACTTCTCATCAAAACATGTTTTAAGAGAGAAAAAACCTTTTGTAGAAGCAACCTTTTGAATAAGCAACAGCTTCAGGAGGTTTTGCTAATGTTATTACTTTTGCCAGAAAACAGAGACAGAAGATCACTATTCCTCCAAATGAAGTAAAGACTGTCTTAAGAGCAGAAACAACAACCAGGCCTCAAGAATTACAGGACAGACTTGAGTCCACTATGGAGACCATGAACAGATCTTGGGTTGCAAGCCCACCATCAAACCTTCTGCCCAGTTAGAGACCCATGCCTGGAGCTCCATTCCTATTACTGCCCTCTGCCTCTTCTGAGATACTGATCCCATGGATTCCATATAATGCCACACAAGACAGGGAAGCAGCAAAAATTTACATCAGGAGGAGTTCAGAGTAGTAGTCCACAAATAATCTGCACAGTCCCTACTGCACAAATGGACAATTCCTTAATGTGGGCCCAGAGGGGAATGGTACAAAACAAATTCATTGTAATGCTGATGGAGGATGCTTCTGCTGCAAAGGCCTCCTGCTTTAACCCTGCAAGTCAACCAAAACAGCAGGGGGTGGAGTCGCTCTCTGCTCTACTTTGCATGGTGGATCTGCCAAAACCTGCAGGAGAGCTGGATGTTAGCCCTCACCTGTGGAATCACAGCTGCCCTAGACACTACTGTAGGTCCAGTCAGGGGCCCTCTAACTTCAGGGACTACGAGAAAACAAAGTGTAAAGGATGTCTAAAATGAAGTAAGTTTGCAGATGACACAAAACTGCAAGGAGCTGTTGACTCCCTCGAAGCCAGGGAGGCCCTGCAGAGAAACCTTGACAAATCAGAGGACTGGGTGATCACCAACCATAGGAAGTTCAAAAAGAGGAAATGACCAATTCTGCACCTGGGATGGGGCAACCCTGGATGTTGGTACTGACTGGGGAATGAGATGCTAGAAAGCAGTGCCATGGAAAGAGACCTGGGGATCCTGGTCAAAGGCAAGTTGAATCTGAGTCAGCAGTGCCCTGGCAGCCAGGAGGGCCAACTGTGTTCTGGGGGGCATCAGGCAAAGCATCACCAGCATGTCAAGGGAGGGGATTGTCCCACTCTGCTCTGCATGGCCTCACCTTGAATATCATGTGCAGTTTTGGGCACTGCAATATAAGAAAGATATTAAGTCATTAGAGAGTGTCCAAAGGAGGGCAATAAAAATGGGGAAAGGCCTTGAGGGGAAGCTGTATGAGGAATGACTGAGGTCACTTGGTCTGTTCAGTCCAGAGAAGAGGAGACAGAGGGGAGACCTCAATGCAGTTACAACTTCTTCGTGAGGAGAAGAGGAGGGGCAGGCACTGATGTCTTCTCTGTGGTGACAAGTGACAGAACCCAAGGGAATGGCCTGAAGTTCTGTCAGGGGAGGTTGAGTTTGGGTATTAGGAAAAGGTTCTTCCCCTAGAGGGTCACTGAGCACTGGAACAGGCTCCCCAGGGAAGTGGCCACAGCACCAAGCCTAACAGAGTTCAAGAAGCATTTGGACAACACTGAAGCACATGGTGTGACTCTTGTGCAGGGCTAAGGATTAGATTAGATGATGCTTGTAGGTCCCTTCCAACTAAGCAACTGTGTTGGGTCCCTTCCAGCTGTGATTCTGTGTATACTTTCCTCATGTAGAGGTGTGGCAGGATGGCTCAGAAACATTGCTCGTGTCTTTCCAAATGGGTTAGCAACTGCCTGGTAGAGTTTTAGATTGTGCACCTACTTATTGTACAGGTTCTCAAAACTGCACCCAGTGAACTCTCAGCAGGACTTCAACTGTGTCTCTCATCACAGTGAAATTTTGTGCATGGTGTTTGTGCCTGTATGTCCCAAGGGTGACATGCTTCCACCCTTCCGGGCCCATCTACCAGGCACTGAATCTCCACTGAGCCAGGAACAAACATGTTACGCTGACAACACCTCTTGTTAAGTTTTGTACTCCCATCTTCTTCTGCAGACAAATAGTCCAGAAGAGCAGGCTCAGTTAATTCAGGGTGTCCTCCCAGGCTAACTGCTTCAGTAGGAGGATACCATTCCCCCTCACAGTGACTGTGGCTGCACTGACCAAATCTGGGGTTAAGGAGAGGTTTGGGCAGCAATTTATGTGGTATCACTATTAGCTGAGGACGAACAAAACCAAAACATTTTATCTGGTTTCTGTTTAAGGACACTCAAAACCCAGGAACTAAGTTACTTCAGGTAAGCATACTTACTCCTGTTGTTTCGATTGTCTTAGAAAATGTGGAAACAAAAAGTACCATTCTGTGTCAGGAACTGCTCTATGATTTAAGACATACAGGAGTGGTCTGAGAAATAAGTTTCAGACTTTTACTTCAATCTACATACCAGGGAGAGATTTCAGCACTGTGAAAGGAAAGCACTGCAATAATTATAACGTTATCTAATCTTTTCTCTATAGGAGTGCTTTCTAAATACAGCCTGAGAAACACACATTATTAAAGACACAACAACTGTTCCTAATTTTACACCTAGTTAGGGGATTTATATGTATTGTGGGGAGATGAGATCAGTCCTGAAGGAACATACCACTTCCGATAATATTAATTACTGAACCTCTAGGCAGAGCGTCAGACGCCGGAAATGACAAGATAACATTTATGGAGTTGTGTTAATCTAACACTTCCTAATGTAAATTACTCAAGATAAGGGGTCATGCTTTATTTCTGTGCTGAAAAGTCCATTTGAAATTGTTCTTATGTGCTGTAAAATTTTTGCCATCAAATCAAGAGTATCCTTTATCTTAGAGCAGTTACCCAAATTAAGGAAATATTTTGGATAGCTATTGACCTTGAAGCAGAAATGAAAAACACTTATCACAAAGACTTTACTGATTTTCCATTAAATTATCCAACATGTTTTAAAGAATCTTGCACTATTTTATAAATTTAACCTCAGAAGAAGCACATTTGACTAGGTATGCAGGTCTCCACAGGACAACAGAATATTATGTAGTAAATCCATGTCCTATTCTGATGTTGAAGGGGGTGGGGGGGTGACTGAGAGGCTGTCCTCAACCCAGTCTTTTGTTTGGTCACCTATCCTGATGCCTTGAAATAGGTGTCTAGTGTGTCTTACAAGACCTTGTAGTATTCAGAACATTCAGATGAGAGTGGCAGACATGATGCAGAGCTTGCAGGAGCCCTGCACTTCCAGAGTGGTAGTTGAAGGTCAGACAAGATACAATAGACTCCAGATACCTGAATTCCCATGCTGGAGTCACTCACAACTGTAAGTTAAACCTGTCACTTACAGAACCAGCACAGTTTTAGGAGAGAAGCGCAGCAGGCTCTGTCCTGCACTAGGCAACACTGAGCCATCCTGAAGGATCTAACCTATTATGTTAGATGTGGTTCTGCCTGTGATTTCCAAGGACGAAAGCCATATGAAGCTAATACACTAACACCAAACAAAATAATTGCCCCTGACTTACATAGCTAGCAGTAAAGGACCTGAAATCTGACCATATTTAAGCTCTAATTAAATGTTCAAGAAGATAAAGTATAGTATGACTAACAAAGCAAAAGACAGAACTGTGGGTTCTGTCTATCCAGTGCTGTTCCATCCCCTCAGTGGCAGCAGTGAAACCATCTCACATGTGAGTGAGCCCCGCTGTACTGACCTTTGGGGAGGACATGTTCCTATGGGATAAACAAGAACTGTGACATAAATCACCAAAATTGCTTCTAAATCAGGCTGCTGTGGGATCACTCAGCCGTAATATCCCCCAGATGCTTCTCTTCATGTTGCCAAGAGCCTCTTCATGCATAAAAACAAAGCTAGAGCAACTTGCATCGAGACAAGCATATATGTGTTCTGCTTCTAACCCTGCAGGTTGAAACTGAAGAAAAGGTCGGTATACTACCTGCAACAAATGGATGCAAATGTGTGTCAATAAAAGCCCAAACAGATCTGCATAAGCCCCTGCATATATAGTTATGTCCAGACAACTGCTTCCATAATAGATTGACAGCACTGCTTTCATGGAATACAATCACAGAATGTCAGGTTGGAAGGAACCTCAAGGATCATCTGGTCCAGCCCCTCCGGCAAAAGCATGGTCCAGCCAAGATGGGCCAGCACCCTGTCCAGCTGAACCTTAAAAGTGTCTGATGTTGGGGAATCCACCACTTCCCTGGGGAGACTATTCTAATGGCTGCTCTCATTGTGAAAAAATAATTTCTCTTGTGTCTGATTGGAATCTTGGCAGGAGTAACTTCTTCCCATTGCCGCTTATCTTTTCTACGTGACTCCTTGTAAAAGGGCAGTATCTATCTTCCTTGTAGACTCCCTTTAAATGCTGGAACATGGTGATAAGGGCTCCCCTAAGGCTTCTTTCCTTACATGGCAGGCTTTCCAGTCTTTTGATCATCTTTGTGGCCCTCCTCTGGACCCCCTCCAGCCTGCCCACTTCTTTTTGTGTATTAGCTTGTTGCCCAGTCCATCATCTCAGGATAGCAATGCTTCCTCAAGGAGGCTAGGAGGTTGGTTTCTTGGAGACTGTTGATGAATCAACTGTAACACTGCTTGTGCTTTTTCCCTGTTCTGTGTAATAGAAAAAAATCTAGCAAGACAAATGAACAGAAGTTTAAAATAATGTCATTTTTGTAGAAATAAAAAATTATTCTTTTTCAGTGAAGTTGGCTGATTTACTGAAAGTCCATTCTAATATTTTCATTTAATGTTTCCTTGATCTATTAAAAATTGAGATTGACCTCCATGCTGGTTTTACTTCCTTTTTTGAAATACCAACTATTTAAATGTCAACAGAAATTAAATTAATAACAGAAATAGCACAATCAGTGGTGGTGATGGTGATTGCTGGGAGGAGCTGGGAAAAAGCACAGAACAAAATTTATTAATTTATCTTCTTGTATCATTTTAAGTGTGTTCCTGAGATGGTACTTTTGTAAATGAGTTCCAGTTCGAGGCCAGGAGGACTCCATTTACCAGGATAAAGCTTTCTAAGTCTGTGCTAGTATGACATTAATTGAATCATCACTGCCTGAGGATTCATTTCCTTGTGGACTCAGTGATATGGCTTGACATTTTGTGCAGGTGTTTAACACAGTCATTTACTTACTGTTGCTTACATTTATTTACTCTTCAGTTTAATATCTACATTGCATACTGTAGCCTTCAACAAGAAATTACTACCTACAAAAATATGGATTCCCAGAAGCACACTCTTTTTGGGAAACACCTTCCAATAGAGTGACATATATTACCAAGGGATCAATTGAACGTTGAAGCCTTCAGGAAAAAAAAAATCACTATTTACAGCTCTTTCTTTTTTTTGATAAGTACTATAATAAATGCAGATAACAGAAAAAAATTTCAGGAGCTGAAATTTTAAGTAAACCAAGTAGTAATGTGAAATTTGGGGTGAGCTAACAAGAGCGGGTAATATTTACATTTTAGCAAAAAATATCTTCCATTAGCTGGGAGGTAATCAACACTTTTATTTTGTATGTTACCAAGACAACATAATCTGGCATAACTGAGTGGAATGAATTAAGGATTGTTATGCATGCTTGGCCATGATTCATGTTTCCTGCATGTCCTTCCACTGCTTATGGAATACATTCTGTTTCTTTCATTTCCAAGTCTTCCCTGTTCTAATTTTCCTTTCATGGAGTAATGGAGAGTTCTTTTTAAGCCCTTGCTATTGTTCAGATTGGCCTTTGACCTGATGCTCACAATTCAGTATAGGGTACAGAGAATGCATGATCCTAGGGCAAGCTTCATGTCAACATGGCCAGCATTTCTTCTATGCTGACTTAATGCTCTTAAAACCAAAATCACAAAGCAAATATCCAAAGAGCAAGACTGGCAGGGTTTTGATTTGACTCCTACTTTTGGACAACTACTACTGTTCTTGTTGGTTTTGTTGCTGTTGTGGTTATGCCTTTATTTCTCCTTAAAAAGTCAGAAATGTTCTGTTAAATTGAAAGTTAAAATTTTCAAGAAGTTACAGAATCTACAGAGCTGCATCTTCAGAAGAATAGAGTGAGGCACACAGGAGCTGGCAACCTTTTACTGTTGCTATATCAAGTGAAGGTAGAACCAAGAAGTGGTGGGTCAGAGAGGATGAAAGTCTGAGTCATTGCTGTATTTCCTGTATTTCTCTTCTCCCAGACTAACTCTTCCATTAGGAAACATCCTTACTGCAAATGGACAACTTTGGGAATTTGTGCAGTGAATAAGGTAGCATCACCACCTGAAACTTTATGAGATTAATAATATTTCTGTCCTCCACTGGGTCTGAATCCCAGGAATTGTTCTATTTTTTGGGCAGCAGAACAGCCAAAGTGGGGCATATGTGAATAAATTTGGCCTCAAAAGCAGCACTCAGCTCAGGGCAACAGCAGTGTACAGTGAACACATTTGCATGGTGGTTTCTTACTGTTCTCTGCAAGCCTGAGCAGCAGTGTTCCAGGTGACCTTGTGATTCACTACCAGGACGTAGCAGCTGCCCTCATGGTAACTCCATCCAGAAGGACATTTCTTCATGCTTACCTCCTAAAATAAAAGAAGAAAAGGCAAAACAGACTTATGCTCATAGTGATCTGTGAGCAGATGTCTGTGCACAGATAGTCTGTACACTAATGCACAGAATTAAACTGAGCATGAACTTCAGTGTGTATCAATAAAGCTCCAGCATTGCTTATAAGATTTAAATAAATAAATGCCTGCCAGAGAAGGCTACAATTTAAAATCAGTAGTTTTAATGGTGACAGCAGGTTTCAGTTCAAAAAATCCTCTCAAGAGATTGCATTAGTTTGAACACCATTGGCTGTGTCCTGCAGTCTGCATATGGAATGCAGTGCAACAAAATTCAGCATGACATCTTATGTGATGGAGGGAATGTATGTTTACAGAATACCTAAGTAAGCTAATTTTACTAACTTCCACTCATTTTCTCACAAAGTTCATTCCCAGACTGTCTTATGCCCACATACTCACAAAGCACCAAGGCACCAGTGCTCACATGGTTTGTCCAGGAGCACCTGTGGATGACAGAGAGGAAAGGCAACCCCAGCAGTCAAGTCCTCATCATATTTCTGGGAAACTTTTATTTCTGGTGAAAGCAAACCGTACTCTTGCAACGCTTTTGTTCTCTGTACAAGTAAATAGCTGTTACAAGAAAGTCTTTGTTTGAGAGTGTCACTCATTGCAGGCTCCGTACTCTGTCTTAGATGCATACTCATGGCTACAGTTTTACCTTGCTTTGGGAATTCCAGAATTTCCATGTTATCCCATCACACTGAAATAACTTTTGAGTGCTTTCTTCATAATGCAAGAGACCCTTTAAATCTGGTGTACAGGCCTTTGGAAAAGGGTTAAAGTCCTGGAAAGAGAAAATGTCATAATGACATTTGAAGGAAAATAATTACACAAACCAAAGAAGCAATATGAAATAGATTAATTAGGCCTTATATTAAAATTTTATGCCATGAAAACTCTTCAAGGGCTGAGCTGTGATCTGTGTACAGGTTAAGCTCAGTTTTGGAGTGGGAAGGGTTAGGCTGCAGATCTCGGAGGTGTTAAATCAATTTGGAAAACAGCGTGACTGAAAGCAGATGGTGAAAATGCCTATGAAACAAAATGTTTCATACCTTATGTCTTGAACTTGGTTCAGATGCAAGTTCTGCCTTATCAGCCTGTGGGATTTCTATCTTCCTAGAGGAGATGACATTTACCTGTGGTTTTGCCTTCTTGTTGGTTTTAGCTGATGAGGTGTCATCCTCTATTTTGAGTGATACCATCCCATGATACTTTGTTTTACAGTATCACATATGCAAGAAGAACAAGAGAGGGAAAAGAGAGGATTAATAAATACAAAAATACTTAAATAAACTAACTAAATAATAATAAAAATGAATTACAATACAAACTGTTGTAAATCAAGGGAAAATTATACCAAAGAAAGAGAAAGATACATAGGAAAATAACATACTGGTCATAGCAAATTATTAAGAGTGATAAAGCCTGGCAAGAACAGAATCAGAAAGAAATCATAGAAATGGCTGACCAATACTCATAATGCTCTTACTTTGAAAACCACATCTGTTCCATTTCTAAATACAGATGAAGGACGAACCTGAAAAAAGCAGAACAGCAGAATGAGATGGGCATATTCATGCATTATAGGAACAAATAGACTTTATGCAAAATTTACTACAAGACTAGGTTATAAATCATGAAGAGCATGCCTTGGTTTTAGTTCTTTCTCTTGCAGAATGGAAACGGATAACCTCTGAAAACAGCCATTAAAATGCACAAATTACAAGTGTCTTTACAAACAGATTCTACTATTAACTTTTAAGGTTACAGTAGCAGAAAGTTATTAAACCACCTAGATAAACCAATATAACTTAAGCAGGAAAATCAGTGGGCAAGATTTAAATAACTTTCCTGTTTAAGCTAATAGTATTTTCAGCTTTAGAGCTTCAGTACCTGATGCATAGGCCCTATACATTTGCCTGGCTGCACTGACTTCTTTCTTCTAACTGCCCCATAATTTATACAAAATGAGAAGCTTCATAATTACTGAAGTTGTTTGATGGCTGATTCCTGCCCCAAATCATGTTTTTCTTCCTCTCTTGCATACATGGATTTTTGGTAGTTTTTTTTTTTCTTTGCAGTATTTTTAAATAGCTCAGACTCAGAGCAAACTCTGGTAGTTTATAGTTATTGTAGGATCAGGTAGGATCACTACAAAAATATGACAGTTTATTGAAGATATCACATCACAATAAATTCATAAATCGGTCAATCACTGAACTCCAGAAATGTCTTACTATTCGGCCATTTCCAGTCACTCTCAGCCTGGTCCTTGACAGATTTGCCAAGCTGTGCTCCAGCCGCGAGTCCCCTCCATGCTCTCTCATCCCTTTGGAAGGAGGCAGTGGGATCCCTTCCAGGGAAAAATTGCCAGGCCTGGAAGGTGATGAGGAGCCTTTGGAAACTGGAAACAGTGTTCCTCTCCCCCAGAAGCCATGCTTGCTTTGGCTAGAAGAATGGGAATAGCTGCACTGACCTGAAAGCATAAAAATGGCAGATGGTCAGTTCTAACTGCATGAGCAGATAACTGGTCATGTTGATATGGGCACACAAACAGCTTGTCATTAAAAGTTGGATGATTCTTTCACTTGAAGTAGTTGATTTTCTGTTTGTTTAGTCATCCTCATTTCTAGCATTAGCGATGACTATGACTGCCCTGCTACCTATATAAGTGTGTTTTCACATGTGATGCATCTGTCTACCCACAGGTCAGAATTTCAACCAAGCAAACCTGTTTTCCTGCATATACTGGGTTTGCAGTGCTGTTTTTTCGGTAACGGAGAGACAGGTATCAATAACTACCATCGGTGATACCTCCATCATGCCCAGGCAATTTTCTCCTTGGAAATACAGGACACTATTGTTTCCACAAATTTAGTATGTCGATTTACATTATGATTTACATTATGAATGTTAAGGAGAAAAAAAATCTGAAATTTTGAAAGGATTTTGTACAACATGAAGCCTAATTCATTGCAAGATAGGTATTTTAAATATTTTTTTCACTAAACACCAAAAGAAAAAGCAGTCTTCAGCTTTCAGAGGAGTCAGATGCTTTGCTAGTTATTTCTATTTTTCTACAGTTTTTCTATTTTTCTGTTTCTACAGTTGCTTCTTTTTTGTTATGTTTTAGGCACATCACATATGATCACTAAAAAACACAATAATAATGCAGTCTTAAAAGCTTATACTCTGTATTGATCACTGCTGTGTGCTGTAAAGTTGTGGACTGTGTTTGTTAAGCATTAGAAAATATATTGTAAGACTTGGTTCATTTGTTAGACTTCTTTTTTGAAAAGAAAAGAAATCTTTTATTGAGGTGTATAACTGCCAAACTATAACTGGGGAAAAAAAACATTCTAATGGACCTAAAAACATTTTTTCCCACTTTAATACATGAGAGCTGAACTCACATTGTAATGAAAAGTGGTTTTTTTCCTGGCACCTTTCTTATTTTGTACTCATAGCTTTCTCCATGCTGTGTTTCCTCAGAGGATGCATATGATTGTGTGAGAGGATAAAGGGTTTGCAACTGCTGAGCCTGTTTTCTCTAAAAAGAAATTAAGTGGTTTGATCTAAAGGTGAGTGTTAGGAACAAATTGTGATTGAAAATAGGTAGCTACTCAGACAAGATTGTCCCACCATCTTAATGATGAGGATCAAAAGAGAATACCTCCTTTTGAGTCCAAAATTTTCACTATAGCTCTTGTCCGTGTGCCAAGAACAGCATTCACAGGGGAGTTCAGAACTACTTCAAAGACTTCATCATCTTCCTCTAATCCGTCACACGTAATTGCTATATTCCACGTCTTGGTTGACATTCCTAATAGAAATAAACATTTTAATTACTCTTTAAGTGCTATTTCAATCAATCAGGATGTCAAAGAAATATATTAATTAACATGTCTGCAGCTAGAATGGAGTGGCTTGTGTATCCTATTGTGCTCCTACCAGCTGACTGGACTCCTGCTGTTCTTCCAAATAACATTAAGTTTGAATTTGTTCCTGGGCAATGATGATTCTGTTCATGTGCACACAATGTAACAAAAAGCTGCTGTAGATGTGCAAAATGGCACTGGAGTACATAGATTTAGGAGTTCCAATGCAATTTTCAAGAGAAAATCACAGGTTTTTTATCTGAGAAGCCTAATTTTAGAGATGGAACAGTTATTCAAAATACCTGCAAATGGATCAAAGACTGTGTTAGATTGAAATGCAACCTTTAGGGCAGATTTTTTACTTGTTCACAAGATTTTTGCTTCATTCCTTGCCTTTGCTGAGTAACTTCTAGCTTCCATTATGTGAATGAGAAAAGGTCTCGGATGTCTTGTGTAACTTCAGTTGTACTCAGTTTTGTTTAAATGACCTGTGTCCTGGGCTTTACTTATTATGACTGAAATTTTTAAAGCATCTCACAGCTCAGCTCAGGACAAGTCCTCCCCAGCCTAGGTGTAGGGAGATTAGGAGTTGTCATTTCAGCACTTTTGATATTTTAAGTGATGTAAAGGGACCATACACCATCTTACCCTAAGTATTAAGGATCCTAATTCACAAAGGAAGCCCTTCCAGAAAATGAGTCCAAGTGTCCTTAATACTATTTGATTCCTCTAGTTAAAGATACATAACAGATTTCACTCTCCAAAGCCACAGTTTACACTTTCAGTGAATTAATTTTAGAGTTATTCTGTGCACTGTGTATTGGTTCATACCTGGATCAAACTGAACAAGCTTGGAGGGAGTCACTGTAAAGTCTTTTCCCAGCGTAGCAGATATTTCATTGACCTGAGAAGAAATCAAGCAGTAAATGCCATGCTGTGACCTGTTTCACCAAACATTCTGCTGTGTGCTGAAGCTATGTGCACCTCTCAAACAGACAGGCCAACCCATACACGTGCTGAGGCTGGAAAAAAAGATAAAGACCTAAAGAATATATCTTGTGATGTACAGCTGGCATTCTGTTCATGCCTTAAAATACACATCATACAAAAAAATTCCTGATCTTATAATTTTGCCTCATTCCCTCTCAGATTGCTACTTAATAGCACGAGGTGACACTGCTGTTCTCTATGCCTGGGGACCCTGCCATCACCTGGCCCCTGGACAGGCACATCCTGTCATCTTAGAAGAGCAGCAACAACCTGGCCACATTTTCTTATTTAGCCCTTTGTGATGTCTTGGAAGAAGTGTCTGCACGCAAAGCTGTCTGTCAGCCCCAAAGGTTCTTTGGGATAGACAAGAACCCCTATATATGTAAATATAGAGACTCCAGCAACTCCCTGAATTTTCATAGGGGATCACCAGAGGACATCAGATTCCACACTTAAGTTCTTGATCCTGGAATCAGTTTCACTGGTCTGTTTAGTCAAGTCACAATCAGAGTAGAATGACAGGAGTCCATGAAGGCTAGGACAGGATAGCCACCAATGCAGTCAATAGCAAAATTCCCACTGACTTCAGTAGAAGGAAAAATCAAAATTGTGTTTCCAATTAGGGCTACAATCCTGAGAAACTGTGAGGGGAAGAAGTAGTATTTCTCTAGCAAGGGGAGATGGTAAAATCCTAGAAATTCCATTTTATGAGGAAAGACAAAATTTGTGAAGGTAAGTTGCACAAAACCTGTTTTACAAAATTATAATGTGCAACTTTCAGTCTAATTGTTTTGACAGTAGAGAGAGGCTGTCACTGAAGATATAGGGGTTTCTTAGGCTTTTTCCTAGGTTAAGGGTAGTAGGGGGAGAAATGGAAAGGCTACCATGGCTGCGTAGTTGAAAATTCTATAGCTCCTGTGCTTCTCCAGCCTGAGCAGGGAAAACAAATGCCCTGAGTCTCCACATTGCCCAAAGCCTAGATTTTTTTGTGGCAGATCTGGGAAACCAGGCCTCTGAGTACAGTGCCAGAGGAAACTGCCTGCTTTTTTTTTCTCCATCAAAACTGAAATACTGCTTCAAACCATTCCAGGTTTGTTTAATCAGCGTTTCTACTTAAAACTCAGGAAGTCTTGTCAGAAATATTTTATCCATCTGTAGTAGCAATGTCCCATTAAGTCTGGATTGAATCACATGGCCTACCTTTTAACTGTGGAAGAAATTAACAGGCTTAGTTATTGCTAAGTTTACGTTCAGGATGTTGGGTTTTGACTTTACCTTCACAGTTATAAAGGCAGACTCTATTGAGTGTCCTGCCCTGGTGATTTTCAGAGACACCATTCCTATGCTCTCACACACTTCATATTCAGTCTGTTGCATTTCAATCCGAGACCACTTTAGCTCCAATCTGTGGGAGAGGAAGGAATGAAGGTGTGAAGCAAAGCCATCCATCAGCCACCCCCAGTCCTTGGCTGTGTGAAGAGCCATTTCTCTCCTAATGTTGATTGAGCCAATACACATCCTGAGTCTTTGTCTCCAGATCAACATCTGTTGATATAGCTGATTAGGAAGACGCTGCAGTAAATCTTTCAGACCTACCCTCATCCACCCAAAACCAGACCTGAACCTTGTTTCACAACCAAAGGGGTTCTGCAGCAAATTTGAGAAGAGCAGTTTGTCTGCAGTACCAAATATGCCAAGACAAGCTATCACTTTTTCTCCTGCTTCCCTTTCACCTTCCCATTTTATTATACTCTCACTCCCCAGTATTATTGCTGTAATATCATCCTTTCCTTCATCTATCCCTAACTCTGCTCCTGCAACATATAGAGCACACTCTAAGACTTCACTGCCTCTGTGCCAGCACCCTCCCCACTCCCCTTACTTTAGTACTCCACGTACTTTGCTCTTCTACCCTTCACCCTGGCTGAGTCCAGGTGTGTCACAGACTAGAATTTTAGAATTGTTTATAGTGAGGGTGTGACTGAACCTCAGAATATCGCGTGCGGCACAGGGTAGTCAATAAAGATGTCACCTTTTCAAAAGCTGTGATAAAAATTAATGAGAGTCAGAGAGGAATGAAAGAGAGCACAAATAAGGAAAATGAGCTGAGCTACATACAAAATAATTTGAACTTTTCTAAAACAAACTTCTAGACCTTTCATGGTTGACTAGCTTTAACACCAGTGGAAGTTTCCTCCTCTCCTCCTTTATCCTCTGGTTGTGGGCAACCCATACAGAAGCTGGTTTGCTTTACTTTTGCTAAAAAGAAGGGATGTGCCAGATGTAGCTCAGCAGCATTTAGATAATACCTGGGACATCAACAACAAATCAAACTTATATTTTGAACCAGTCATCTTTAGGTGATACATAGTTTAAATTAAAAAGTATCTCACAAGATTTTAAATCTAGTATTAAAATATTATTTTTTCACTTAAAGCCAAATTCCCCTTCACTCTGCTAATGGATAACTTAACTGAAACTCCTATTTTCCATTAAAAAGAGGGTTTTTTTGCTCTTTTCCTAAAGTTGTGCTACACATTGGTATTCATATATAAGAAGTCAGACTTTACCATGAGAAGAGGCATCATATAATGGTGGTTCTAAAATTGGTTCATCTGTGAGCCAGCACAGAGCAGCTGGGCAGTGCTCAGGCTGTCCATGTTAAGATGTGTTTGTGTATGGGGACATCTTTTGGCATAGCACATAACTGCCAAAGAGCTCCCTCCAGCTCTGCTTGAGCTCTACTTGATCCCTGTCCTCTCTGAAGCCTGCAGGGAAGTGCTCTGCCTCTGGAGCCAGCTCTCCGCTCCTTTTCTTTCTCCATGAGTCTGCTTGGTGAGTAGCCAGTTTAGCCCAGGAAAATAGCACTGGTTATTTTTTTTACAATTTTTATTACTTCTGATTAGATAAGTTCGTTTAACATTTAGTCCTATTTTCAGAAATTAAGAGAAACATTGCCTATGCTGAAGGGCGACTCCCACTTAAGGCTTTTATCATCAAGCACAGTTCAGATGATATTCTGATTTTTCTACATGAAGTTTATCATATGCCACAACAAAATTTGGATAATATGCCTAATATAAGCAATGGAGGACAAAGAAGATGCTGTGTGCTCTTCACATTCTTTCAGTACTCTTTTGCAGAAGTATGTTTCATAGCTTTATTGCTTGAGAGCATCCCTTCTATTGTAATCCCAAGCTTGTGAAAAATGCACTGCCACCTGCACAGGGCAAGAGTGACCTGCAGCTGCAGAGCCATGTTCATGGAGCAGTAATCCCATCCTCAGCACCCAGCATCTCAGATCTCCAAATGCCCAACTGCCACTTAGAGTGAACTCCATTTTACTTTCTTGTGAGGCCCCAATGGCCCTTGAGAACTATGACCCACTCTAACCTGGAGCTAACCCCTTGTGTTTCACCTCCTTGAGGGAAGGAGGTCTCCTCTACTCCCACAGAGGCAATGGCAGTTTGAGGAGTAGCTATCTGTGTTCATGTCTGTGTGGCTCCAAGCCCAGCACCAGTTCATGTGCCCCGGGGTGTGGTGAGCACAGTGAACCACAGCACTTATCACCAAGGATCGCAGCTACCTTTGGGGCCCTGCAGAGTTCCCTCTGGCATCTGTGACTTGAAACTCCAAGTTGTCTGAATTCACTTCCTGTGATGAGTTGATGACATAAAGTAGGATTTTGTTGTCTAAATCCTTTTGGCTAAACCCTTCCTGAATGAGTCCACCTGGAAAAGATGAGTAATATGCAGATGAATCAAAAGCCTCTTAATAACAGCTTATATAGACTCTTTCAATCTTTCTTTCTGTTGAAAATCTGAACTTACAGAAAAGTGGTTTTATACCTAAACAGCAACATCCCGGTCCATTATAAGCTCAGTTTCTTTGTGTGTGACATCTTTATCAAAAGGCCAAGTTTGATATTAATCTTTTTTTTTTTTCTTGATACAAACTAAAAATAGTTCCCCAACAGAAGATAGTAAAAATCATCTCATAATGAACATAAGACTCAGGTTTCATGGTATAAGTTTTTTTACTGCATTCAAACTTTGCCCAAAGTTTGCTAAGAAGTTTTGATTCCTTCTGTCAAGCAAACATTAACAGGGTAGGTTTTGGAGTCTGGTCCCTGCTAGTCCCAAAATATAGAGAATATAGAAAAAATCACCTGTTGTTATATTTACCAGGTAGCCATAATGAGGACCTTGCAAAATCTTAAAAATTACTTTGTCATCTTCTGTATTGGGGTCAGATGCCTTCAGAGACCTGGTAGTAATATAGATCCCATAATTGCCATTCTTCAGCAGTTCCACATCAGAAAAGCAATGGAGATGAATAATTTTTGGTGCCATTTTGTCCAGATGATCCACCTAAATAAAAGTTAAACATTCATTTTACAGCATCAGGACATTCTCTGTCCTACTTTTGCTAAAAGCACAGTAGCCTGCTTAGGGTGGCAATAGCCACTTTGGCTCCCGGTCTGCTGCAGACATCTGATTTCCAGTTAAGTGCTATTTCATATGAGAAGTTTCCAGGCCCAGATTGCCCATCACTTTCCATTAGCAGCAGGTTACAGTGGGGAGAATAACACAAATTCCCTGTACCTCTACCCTAATGTCCCACACTCCCCATAGTCCTTCTCATTTTTGATGTGATTTTCAACATAGCAAAAGGTAACTCCAGCAAAGGTTTGTCACCTCTGTTTTAGAATAAGAGGCATGGAAACCTAAGGATTATGATAATCACAGTAATAGACATAGCCAGTGTCTCCTCAAATCTGTTCCACCTTTCACAGCTTCTGATGAATCGGCTAGCATTCCACAATGGTTGTTGCTGTTCCCATATCTCATCCTCTGCTGAAATTGCACTCCTCCCTCATCATGTAGCTTGAAACTTTGTCATAAGGAAATGTTGGCAGCCTATTCATTAGTACCAGTGTTTTGAAACATCCAGACTTTTGACATACAATGCAACTAGGCCTACTTTGTGTACTGAAACATGCCAGCTACATGCAAGAAATTGTAGCAAGTATATCTGAGAGTATGACAAAGTGTGAAGAACTGGATGAAGGAAATGGGAAGTAAACAGAAAGATTCTAGTAAAGAAGGAAAGAATCAGAACAGGCATCTTACAAAAAAAACAGAAGACAGGCTCTCTGGCTGTGGAAGTAATTCAAGAGGCACAAAGTGGTTGTAATTCAAGATTCCTGTGACATGAAAATCAACAGTTACCTGGCATCCCTCATGTGCAAGTCAGGCATCAAGTGGGAAAGCAGAGCAGGAGGAAGTTCAGTGGTCTCAACTATATAGTTGAGATTTCTATGGAAAATATTTTAGTGTTTAAGTGTATAAGTAACTTCCTGCTTATATTTATTCATTGTGTCAAGTATTTCATTCTCCAAGTTAATTATTCATTGAAAACAGGAAGCAAACATTTTAGCTGAAAAATACCTCAGTTATAGGTTGCAGTAAATATCAGTTCTCATCAAAACTACTACATTTTCGGGCTTTGCATGCTATTTATGCCTTTTAAGTAGGCCTGTGGCCACACTTGCCTGAATGGTGAATGCCACTGGCTCGGTCTGCACTCTCCCATTCACAATGAAACCTTGATTAGTCCTGTCTGTGGCAACAAATGTAAATCTGTCCATCTGGGAATCCCCACCTCGGTGCTTGTATGCAACATCCCTGTTGTCCACGTCTCGCTGTGTGAAATTGTACTGCAGTAGCACAGCCCCACGGTAATAAAGGTGACCATATTGGGGGAGCTGAACCAAGAGGAAGGTAAGGTTTTCTTTTGCAGTGTCTGGGTCTGAAAGCTGCAGGACATCAGGAGAGAGAAGTGCCATAGCACCTTCCATTGTTCTTAACCCCATGTTCCTAGATAGTGTGGGCAAAGCTTGGTCAACTGCCTCCAACGAGATCACGAATGTCCCATGCTTAGTCCTCAGTCCATTGCTGATGGTGAATCTGGCAAAGAGAGGCAAGATAGTCTTCAACATCTGTTCTTGATTCACTATGTACTAAAATGAAATGATAATGCAGACCTTTACTACAGGACTTGCCTGTGTTGATACTGCAAAATTAGTAGAGCTGGGCTGAGCTCCAACCCAAACAGTGGATGGAGTGTATGTAAAACTTTAAAAAGTAAAAGTGGCCAGGTATTTGACAAGAGTTAAAATGCACCTGAATATGTGCCACAGGAATGTCTTTAGGATCAACAGTCATAACAGAGCTGACCTAATCTCTAGCTCAGATACAGATGGAGCACATTTAAAATGATGAGCTGGCTGGGAGACTTACTCTATCCTCTGGCATGCACACACATTTTACACATCCTTAAGTATATCTTCACTTGGTTACCAGGCAGTGGCACCTGCCAGTGAAAGTGTTGGCTTTGTCTACAACACAGACGTATATTTGTCTACAACACAGACATGTCTACAATGTAGAAGAGGAATGTAATGTGCATTATGTGCCAGGACACGGGTCTATTTTGGTTTCTTTAAGTTTTGGGGGTTTTTTCTGTTACCGTTACAAATATTTTCTACCCAATAGCTCCAAAATTATTTGAAAAACCAAGCTGGAGAAAGATCCATCCTCATCACACTTTATGGGATTTTTTAGGCACTAACTGCATCTGTAAATTTCTGTATATGCAGAGGAACTATGTTTCTTTACAAAACACAAATAAGGTTTCACTAAAATACTAAGGTATTGGGCAGAACTGTACAAGTTGCTAGGGTAGTTTTAAAAACATAGATACTCATATATTTATCAAAGGGTCATATCTGCAAAATTCTTGTTCTGGGCTGGGAATTTCTATTAATAGCAATACAGGTTTTTGTTTGTGTCAAGAAGTAATGTTTCTTTAGATATACCAAAGATTTGATTATGCTCTACAGTTAAATTTCCTTTCAAAAAGAAAAGATAAAGGTGTCCAAGGCTGGAGAGAAAATCTGTTGGAAGCTGTGCTGGTTCATTTTCTTCATAGTCACTAGCATAGGGCTGTGGTTTTGATTTGTGCTGGAAATAGTGTTGATAACATAAAGATATTTTGGTTTTGTTACTGACGAGCAGCGCTGACACAGCCTCAAGGTCTTTTCTGCCCCTCGCACTGTGTGGCAGTGGCTGGGTTGGGGGTGCACAAGCAGTTGGGAGGGGACACAGACAGGACAGCTGACCTAAACTGACCCAAAGGATATCCACAGACCATATGGTGTCTTGCTTAGTGTATAGAGCTGAGGGAAGAAGAAGGAAAGGGGAGACATTTGGAGTGGTGGCATTTGTCTTCCCAAGTCATTGTTATGCATGATGGAACTCTGCTTTCCTGGGGATGGCTGACCACCTGGCTGCTCATGGGAAGTGAATGAATTCCTTGTTTTGTTTTGCTTGTGTGTGCAGCTTTCACTTTACCTATTAAACAGTCTTTATCTCAACCCAGGAGTTTTCTCACTTTTATTCTTCCAGTTCTCTCCCCCATCCCACCAGGCAGGGAGTGAGCAAGCAGCTGCATGGGGCTTCGTTGCCGGCTGGGATTAAACCACAACAGAAGCCTACCAGCTGGGTATGGGCTTTTGCCATACAAGTGACAGCGTGGTCTGCAGAAATTTATTATCAAATTTAGTGGTGGATAAAAATAAGGAGAAAACCAACCTTTTAGCCTTCAAATTCATCCTAGATTTCATTGTCAAAACCATCAATTAAGTATTTTTTTATGAAAGGAATTACATGGAACATTGTCATACCTATAACAAAAAACCTTTGACGGTATATGAAACTAAAAATGGCTTTGCAAATATCTCACAATCCTACCTGTTCCATCAACAAACAGTATGCATGAGTTACCCCTCTTTCTACATATATTTCAGTGATTACGCTGCACAGTACATGCAAAAGCATTTTGGAAAGTGGTTTTCACATAGGTTTGTGTTTTGCCTGATCAAAAATGGAGACTGCTTTGCAAAGAAATTTCCTTGTGGTAGAATGAGACAGTTGTTTCAGGCTGTATGAGGGCTAGCCTGGCTTGCTCCTTTCCACCTAGCACTCTTCTATCATACATAAGTGAAATGAAGACTGGCTAACATTTAGGTAGATTGTCTGTTTCCTCTTGTTCTCTTGACTGCAGACCTTGAAGATGTATTTAAAAAAAATTATAGGGTCAACACCTGGTCTATTGTTTTGTGCCTTGAATGTGAGTGACTTTCAGTAGGTCATGGTGCAGCTTACTGTGTCACACAGACTGTCCAGCTAAAACTCTTCACTGCCTTCACCAATGCTGGATGATTAGGGCTTGATCAACTTGTCAACTGGCAGTGTGCCATGAAACAGATGGGAATGAGTACAGGCAGACCAGGGAGTATATAGCAGTTAGAAATATGTTTACTGAGGATGGTATTCCCAGCTGGGAACCTAGAGACATCTGTCTGCACTGACCTAATGCTATTGTGCCAATGGGAAAAGGGTTCTGCTATTAGTAAGCTATCTGAAATCAAATACAGAACTAGAATAATGATGATAAATACTATGCTAAGGGGAATTAAAAAAAAAAAAACCAAACGGCAAAACACCATTAGTCAAGACCTCAACCTTCTCTCAAAAAATCTGAAAGACTGAAGCAGAAGTCAGTTTCCAGTCATTCTTTTGATGGCTGTAAAATCATTTGGATGATGTCTCAAAAAATATTTAAGTGAAAGATTTAGATAAGTTCATCTAACTGAAGATTCATCCAGTCTTCTACAGAATACCAGCTAGGAACAAACCTCCTGGTTGTATATATCAGATTGAAATTTACAACGCAAATTTCATTCACCATTCAGTTTCACAGGTGATGAAACTGCCTGTGCCCAAGATAACCTTTCTCTGCACTTTGGGAGATATTGGTTGTTTATTTCTGGTTTATGTCTGCTTCATTATTTCCTCAGAAATGGAGAGCAGCAAGTATTCTCCTCATTCTGATGAAATTTAGGGGACAACTCCCAGGCCCAGTTTGGAGGACACGTTGCATGGTTTGATTTCACCCCTACCAACATTTCATGCTTTCTGCAGTTTGATGGCAATGGAGTTGGCTAGAGGACCTACCATCTGTCATGGCATTTAAAAGATAAAAATGGAATCATAAATAGTGCCAACTCATTACAAAATCGAGCCAGCATGTCAAAATGGAGAACATTAGCATGTTCTTTTAGTGTCCTGCTGCCAGCATCTGATGTCAGATTGCTAATCACTTGAAGTCGTCTGTCAAAAAAAGCACTGCCAAATCTTTCTTCCAGGCCAGCAGCACCAAACAATACAGGTGAATTTATGTCTGAAGTAACTACTTTAGTGGGAAGAAAAAATCTGGTCAGTTAATTCCTCCTCCTGCCATAATTACCCATATAATTAATGTAACCATTCCATGTTGAAATAATAATAATAATAATAATAATAATAATAATAATAATAATAATAATAATAATAATAATAATAATAATAATATTCTGCCAGAATATTTATATGCCTACACAGAACCAAATGTCTTTCCAAATGATAACATCAAGAAATATAATTATTTTTATTAAAATAGTTATCAAATATCAATATTTATTAAAACATCATAACCTTACTTTTATAAGGCTGACTTTCTATTTTGGTTCTTAGTGATTGGCCTAAACATTGGGTTTATCCACATTCCTAGAATTTTTTGATCTACTTCCATTAGTGTGATTTGGAAGTCACACTGACACAAGCCACACAAGCCACTACTATGCCGCCCAAACTAGGGTTGGCATCATGAAACCTTACTTGCCTAAGCTAGTTCTAGTTTTGGTCAGTGTTTCACAATCAAGAAACATAAAACCTGTGAAAATTTGTATGCTTTTTCTGCCGTGAGTACAAGTGGATCAGACAAATCTCCTAACTACATTGAATTTAGTGGAACGGATAGTTTAAAATGTTTGATTTGAGAAAAGTTTCAAATTTACTTTTGTTTTAACCATAGATAATGTCACCTGAGCTATCCCAGTGTCATAGGGAGGTCTATTTGATGTCTCCATGACCCTCTTGCTTGACTTCCCTGCAAAAAAGCTCTCTAACTAGATGATGCAACATGTTCTTGAATCTTTACCATGTATCACTGAAAAAGCCATTAAGATTAGGAATCTGTTCATAAGAGTGTGTAAAAAAAGGGTCTTTTCTGAACTGCAGTTCTTAGGAGATAAATCTTTCATTTTGCTTAGTTACAAATAAAAAAAAATAAACTCAATTTTGAATTTTACAGTAAGTTCATTTTCTGTCAAAAGCTGTTTTCAGAGAAAATTACCAGTGCAAGCAAGAAGCATTCTTCCTTTAGAAATATTTTCCTTATTTCTGAGCTTTTCTTTTCCCTGAAATTGATCTCTTTTATAAAACTGTCTGCAAGACTTTGAGCAGCAATACGTCTACTCTGCATAACGATAACTCATTACATCATTCCACTTTTTAAGCAAGGGAGGTTAATTTAAGAACAAAATAAGGAAACACTTTAGGAATGCATCTAGAATAAACTGTTCTCAGGGGAAGGTTTCAGAACCAGCTGAAGATAAACTTGAATATCATTAGGTTGCTGAACTGGGCCTATAGGTAAACCTGTGGGTTTACCCCAAGAATTCAAGTATCTACATGAATTTCTGAGCTATTGTGATGTCAAAATAGATTAAGAGGGATGTTTTTCCTTATGTTCAAGAACTATTTATGAATTTAAAAAGCCCAGAATTTAATGATTATGATAAATAAGAATAAACAAGGAAGTTTTTCTTTAATACCTGAATAGATCAGTTTTACCACATCCAGCTGTGGCAAGAAACCAAAGGAAAATTCCACAAAGTACATTCTTAATCCTTCTCTCTCACTTAAATCTTAACAGCTGTGTAGCCTGAGTGCTATAATAATGTTGAAGCTAGTATCATTGAGTAAATACGGCTATGGCTGTGTTTTCAGCATCAATGAGAAAATGCATTTTGTACCAAAGCAGTCACAACTATAATGTATTGTAGTAGTAATATATTTGCTAGATAAATATTGACAATTCACATAGATGTTCCGATTCTTTTTAATGATTTGGTTTGGGGTTTTTTTGTTTGTTTTGTTTTGCGTTGTGCAAAATTTTTAAATACCCCAAAAAAATTCAAGGGGAAGAGTTTGGGGGATGGGGTGCTACACCTTACCTGAATGTATCTTCAAGAACAGCTGTCTTTGTGTTTTGAACATAGCAGACAATCTGTCGTGCTACATCCATTTGACTGAAATTTGTAATGGGGATGCCAGGATAGCTGACATACTCTATTTGTCCATACTGGGGTGGGGAGGTTATCACATAAAGGAGCTCCTCTGGCTTGTCAGTCCCATCCAGTGCAAGAAGGACACCAGTTGTAATGCAGCTGCGATCTCCTTTTGGCACTCTGAGGAGTTTCATAAAAACGGCAATGTCTCCTGCGGGATAGACAAAGCAACATTAAAATTGTCATAATGAACTTGTTGATCTCTTGTGCATTATTTAGCCACAGGCAAGCCATTACCAGTAGAAAAATCATAGGATTGTAGGATTATAGAGAAATTCAACCTGAAAGGGACTTCAATATGTCTTTAGTCCAACCTTCTGCTCAAAGCAGGGTCAGCTGTGAGACCAGCCATAACCACATTGCTTGGGGCTTTATCCCACTGGGGCTTGAAAACTGCCAAGGATGAAGACAGCACAACCTCTTTTGACCATTCTTCCAGTCTCAGCAGTGTCAGGTAAACATTTAGGTTTCTAATAGGAATGCAATAAAAGAAGAGAAACCATAAAACTGTAGACTAAACAGAGAGAAAGAGACAGAGCTCTGTCTATCTGTCTGGGAGACAGAGCTGTTTCTGAACAGTCTTTTGCCTACCCCTTTACATTCTTGATATTTTTCTTTGCTTTGATTTACTCAGACATAAAGCTATTTTCAAAACGATATTTTCAGCTCTATTTGAAAAGTAGATGGAAGCACTGGGAGGCAAGGTGTAACACGCTGCCTTCAGCAGAGCCTTTTCAAATCCCAGGACTGCTTCTTCACCAGCAGGAACATCGAGGCTCTGGCCAACAGTGAAATCCAAGCAGTTAGACTTACAGGATCTGCAGAGAGACCTGCCAGGGGCCTATATAGTGCTCAGGAAAGGATCAGAACATGTACTCAAACATCTTTGTTTCAGAAACAGGCCCCGTAAAAATCTGGTATATCTTTACCCTTTTCCATGTCCTTGACATTTATGTGAAAGTCCACAGCTGGGGATCTGTTGTACCCATCCCAGAGGTAAAATGTGAAGCTGTCTTGGTTCTTGGACCCTACAGCTCCTGTATGGACATATCTCACAAGGTTCATATCCAGCTCTTCCTGAGTGCACGTCATTCCAGTTCGGAGAGTCACCCAGACTTGTCCTACCTGGAAAGAATGAACATCCTTCATTAAACAGTTTCCCATGCATCCTCCCCAGTTAATTTTAGACATTTTAGCCTGTTAGTGGCACCTACTTGGCTTCCCTTCTAAGCTCTATAGACTCTTTCCTGATAGTATGTTTTGAAGGGCACCAAATAGCTGGAATTGTTTCCAAGCAGCTATAAGGCTGGAGAAGATAACAGTGGTCATTAATAAAATGGAGTAATATGGAGTTTAGGCACTTTTACTATAGGAAATTAATTCCTGCACACTTCTCATTAATACACCGATGAGATGAAAACGACTGACTCAGCTTATGTTTTCTGTATCTTAATTTCACAAAGCTGTTCTTGGTTCTACCCAAAATCATCCCTAAAAGGATATCAGAAATGAATCTATGGGGAATTTCAGGGAAGCACAGAAATTTAGAGCTCCAAAGGTCCTCAGCTGCAAAAAAAAAGAACTATTCCATAAAATTTCCTGCTTTTCTGAAAATAGAGTCATACTCTAAGTTGGACTGATCATGTACTTGACATTAAGTCTGCAGGAACAGCATTAATACCTTTGGAGCAAAGGTTATCAAGGGCAAAGGGCTCAGATATATGTGTGTACCCCACATGTACAAACTGACAGACTCTAGTTAGTAGCTGCCTCTCGCCTCAGTATGTGGGACCCCTTTAATTCACAAGTCCTGTGTGATCCAATGATTCATGTAGGGATCCAGCACCAAAATACTTTCCAAGGTCATGGGTTTTAGAAGCGGATTTTTTTTTTTTATATATGCATGCAATTTAAAAGAGGCATTTTTTTCTGTCTTGGTTCCTCTGGCTTGTCTTCGGCCAACAGATGATCATCTCGCCTTCCATTTCTAATCTTATTTTTTGCCTTTCCTCTTGCTATATACTTTCCATCTTCTTCCTTTTCCCTTCCTTCCTCTCATAATCCTCTTCTAACTCATGAATTATTACTCACTCTTCCACATACAACTCCCTCCTTGCTTTCTGAACACTGAAGTAACTGAAGTAATGGTTTCTTTTGATTTGGCTTTTATCAAGGACTTTCCCTCCTGCCCCCTCCCAGTTTTGATGCTTGATTTTTCCCTTAGTGGGCTGATTATCCCAGCATCTCTCTCCACTGTCACCTCAGATGATCTGCCATGCTTTTCACTCTCCTCTGGTCGAAGATCTGGACTTTTAGTCTCAAAGCCTCTGCAACAGCATCATTCTTTGATTTAAATGCTCCTTCAACAATCAAACTGGCCACGGCTGTCTACATCAAAATATGACAGACATTTGGGAGAAAAGGAAGATGAACTTCATTCTATCCTAAAAAGAAAGAGTTCTTTGCATGCCTGCTCTTTGTTGAAGTACAAAGACTAACCTTGAGCTGAAGCTGACCATTTTCTGGAAGTCTTTCAAAAAAGTAGTAAATTCTTTCCCTGGGGGTATCTTTATCTTCCGCTGACAGAACAGCACTAGAAATTATTCGAGTTTCACCTATATTCACCTCTATATCATTCTTCCTGCAAAAATTAAAAGTCATGTATTGATGCAATAAAAGGAACCTTTTCAACATGCAATCTCTCTGCCAGGAATATGGATTACCCAGATGCTGACAGAAATGACAACTGCAGAAAGAATAGATTGGGGGGTGGGTGCCTATTTCAGTTCAAAAGAGAAAAAAAAGTAGCGTAGACAAGCTTCTCCTTACAACGGTGAAAAACAACAAAGCAGACAACTACAACAAACTGGGATTTACTACCTCTATCTTACTCCCCTGGGCCCTCTTCTGTTTACCTTCATACAGTTCGTAAGAAGAGGACAACATAAACAAATAGGCTGCTTTATACATTACTGCTATGACAGGCCACAGCAATATTGGCTCTAATGTTCATTAGACTGTCTTTCAAATAACTAGTATTTCACTGTTCACCTTTACTTATAAGAGACAAAGCAAAGGTCTAACTGCTTCTTCTATATGCTCCTTCTAGCATCCACATCTCATTTTGAGAAGAAATTCTCAAGGGAATGTGTGAAAGCTTTAAAATCCCCAAGGGCAATCCCTGCTTCAGGATGCAAGCCAAGAGATGACAAATTGAGTGTCTGGCAATCACTGTGAATAAGAGGCATTGTCTGCCAGCCAAAAACATCCCATCCCAAGTTCTTCAGTCTGTAACTAATGGAGATGAGAACTGAAAATCCCTGAGGTGGAAAGGGCTCCTAGATCAAGTGAGAAAAAGTTTACAGGTATTGTCAAATGGTCACCTAGAAAACACTGCCATAGCTTAAGGAAGTTTGCACCCCACAATAAAGATGTGGTGACTGAATGTGGCAGCTAAACCACTTCAGTGCCAAACTGAATGTTTCCTTAAAGCACTTATTGCTTAACCTCTAGCAGCATACCTCATCTCAGTGGAAGAGTAACAGGCAAGAGGCAGTAACTTCATAAAGAAATAGCTATTTTGAGAGTAGATGGCTCACTCTGTGCTACTGTTCACTATAGAAATGGCAAATGGTGAGACCTAACATCACCAGACAAGGCAGCAACAGTTTCTGGATTTAGCTGGGCAAAGCTAAAAACACTTGACTTCTTGCACTTCATCATCTTCTTTCAGAGAGAAAGGGTGGAAAATGACATCAATCTATAGCATGTGAGGAACAAATAGACAATTATCAGTAATTATCAGTACATGATATATGAATACATAAACTACACTCTTTATTCTTACCAAAAAATGGATGTTCTCTTGTTAGCATTATGTGGTCCCTGATAATCTTTCAACTAAAAGATATTTGTTATTGCAGGAAGCTCTATACGGTAAACAAAACATTAAAATCGTTTTCAATGAGAAATGTAAGTTTGATCTGAAAATAGGCCAAATATTCCAAAGGATCAGAAATTTCCACTTCAGCGTCAGCCTGCTTAACAGGTTGCAAGTTGTTTCTGAAATGCAAACATCAGAGGTTCAGACCCATACCCCTGACACCTTTGGGCTCTAAGCTTCCCATCTGCCTGCCTGGGGCTGGAAAAGAGTCACAAGGATGGAGGCCCTGATGCACTGTGACAAGTTACCAGTTAAAAAAATGGGGATCCCAAGAGATGAGCTCCTTTTTAAAATGTCCAGGAGGTTTGCCTCTCTTGAAGCCAGCTGCCTGTATACAAATTATGTGCCAGGCAATTTCTGATCATGTCTAATTCATTTATGATCCTTAGTTTTGAAGCATAGGGGAAGTTTGTGTGTACCATTTCACAAGTTGAATTATGGCTGAGGTTTAGAATATAAAAATTTATAATAGAAGAGAATCATTAATCTGAAAACCTTTCCCATGCATCAACTTTGTGGATTCGCTAATGCCAAAATCCAGAGTTGCTTTCAAAGAGGCATTTTAGGCAGGTGTTTATCTCAGGGAAAGGGAACACAGTACCATGGTGGTCAGTGTTCACCAGAGGTGCATGAAGATCAGGAGTGTCTGGTAAACGTTCTGAAGCAACATGTGAAAGATGCAGTAAGCATGTTCCTCCACCACGGCTCTTTTTTTTTTTCCACTCTATTCATTTAATATTGACCAACATTAAAGCATACTCTTCTTTCACTAAATATTTTTTTTTTTTAACAGGCTGATAAACACCTAGATGGAAACATCTGTATTGGCACCAGTCTGTGACTAAGTATGGCTTCTTCTCCCAGTCAGTCACTGAGGACATGGTTTAATGGTGAACATGGTGGGGTGCTAGTTAACAGTTGGACTTGATGATCCTAAAGGTCTTTTTTGACCTTAAGGATTCTATGATTTGCTGTTTTGATCCTTTTTCCATCATTGTGTCTGAACACATTCCTCTCTTAGAGACAGGAACATGTGACTTACTTGCTCAGCAGTGGTTTCTCATCATTAACTGGAATGACCTTTACTGAAATGGTTCTGAGAACTTTATGTTTTCCATCTGATAGCTGGATTTTAAAGCTGTCAGTGAGGTTTTCAGAGTTGTCATGCAGGTACATCAGCTTCATTCCTATATGGGGTGGGAAGGGGAAGAAAAAGAAGAGAGAAAGAGAGGGAGAGGAGGGGAGAGAGAGAGAAATAGAAAGAACAACTAAATCTGACTCCTGCAAAATATGTCACATCATTTTACTCTGCTTCCATCACTCTTCTTCTGTCTCCCTCCCCTATTCCCTGGTCACAGTAAACTTGCTTTCAGCTACCAAAAGTTTCAGAAACCACTGCTGTTAATTACACTGCTGTTAATAACAACATACTATTGAGTCAAAGTCCCCAGTCTGACCTAAGTAAGGAGTGACTCTCTTCCAAAAGGGGTCTCAGTCAATCTGAAAAAGGCACGTTTCTTCTCCTCCCAACATTCCAAATAACTTTGACCATAGAGAGAGTGAGACTGTCAGGCAGCACTCTTCTGTGCTCTAAATAATCCTCAGGAAGCTTTAATATAATAATAATGGCCAGTCTTCGCAAGCGAAGATCCAGGGAAGGTCTTTCCACCTTCCAGCCTGCGCATTGGATTTTTTTTTAGGTGAGACACAGTGTGCGCGGAACTGAGCCCACCCTTTAATCCTAAGGTTCATCTGCCGGGGCCAAGCGAGCTTGGACGGTGGCAGCGAGGTCCTTAGGACGTAGGTGGGTTGCCTTTAAGGGCTAACGAGCCCCACCTGCCCGGGAGTGGCCCTGACCGGGAATCGAACCCGGGTCTCCGTGGTGATAGCGCGGCGCCTTTACCCCTAGACCACCAGGGGCTCCGACAGGAAGCTTTAAGGAAGCATTAAAGTCACAAAAGACAGAAAGTCAGCTGTCCTTATGTCTATGACCATGTACAATCAGAAGTTCTGGGCTGGAGGTGGCTTGTTCACCATTGTGGACAGCAAAAGCGAGAGAACAGCCAAGGAAGAGAACCAAAACGAGGACGTGGGAAGGCTGAGGAATTTGGGGTGGACACCTGATATTTCTCATCGTTCATGTTGGACAGGCAGAGAAACAAAAAAAAATCATTACTCATTTTTTTTGAGGGCTGAACTAAAAATTGAGAGGCAGTAGTATGTTCATGTCCCTCTTTATTTTGATAGATTCCACATTCACTAAATAGCCATAGTCTATTTAGTGAAGAATCTATTATATTCTTGGCAGTGTTAAATACACTTTTTGATTACATGTACTAGAAAGAGATTTGCTGCTTCAAAGCATGTTGACTGATCATGCTAAGCTATAGAGCTCTGGTTCACACCTCCTTTGTTAGACATATGGAGTTATATCACAGCCTTTCAATATCTAAAGGAGGCTTACAGGAATGATAAAGAGACATTTTTTACCAATGTCTGTAGTCACACAACAAGGAGCACAAGTTTTAAACTGAAAGGAGGTAGGTTTAGGTTGGACATAATTAAAAAAGGATTCACAAAAGGGTGGTGAGACACATAAACAGTTTGTCTAGAGATTAGTTGTGGAGGCCCTGTCCCTGGAAGTGTTCAAGGTCAGGTTGAACTGGACTTTAGGCAACTTGGTCTAGTGGAAGATGGCAGGGTATGTGGACTAGGTGCTCCTTAAAGGTCCCTTCCAGCCCAAACTGTTTTATGATTCTACGATTCTGTGATCACTTAGAGAAATACTTAACCCCATGATCAGTTAATGTGTCTCTGTTTGCTGTCTGTGTTTCAGGTGCTCTCCAACATTTAGAAATCTGCTTCATGATATGTTACATTACTCCCTTTTTTTTTCTGAAGGCATATTACTATCCTTTCTGACATACAGGTCTCTCAGGATGATTTTACTGATAGATCCTAAAAACAGTAGATAACAACAGCATTAAATATGTCAGCTATTGCCAAACACTGTCTTGAAAATACTCATGAGGCAAGTGAATAAATAAGTGTGAAGGTTTCTTAGTGTGCCACTTGCCTCAGTAAAGTAATGAAAGACCAATGTCAGAAAAATGCTGCACCTACCATTCTTCAGTAGCTCCATGGAAAAGTCATGAACAAGCAACGCATGGTTGTTGTGATTGCGGTTAATTAACTGTTTATAGTGTAGAATATCATTGCCATGAATTCCATTAATAAGGAACCCATACCAGGGCCTCTGCACAACCCCAAATACCAAATGGTCTTGAGGTACATCCAGGTCAACTGCATTGATAACAGACAGATCCAGCTCTTTCATCTCCCCTTCTTGAACCTGAATGTGAAAGAAAAATATCCAATCCTTTTATATAAAAAGAAATAATAGAATTTCATCATGGTTTCCTAAGCAGGGGCAAGTGTATCTCCACCCCCTTCCCAGTAGCTTTTTGACCTGCCTACTGATTTCAAGAGACAGAGAAGTAAATGGTTACAGTGATGAAAAGAGAAGTTGAGATAAGGAGTTCATATCTGCCCCAATTAAAAGAAAAGGTGTTAGATAAGTCAATGTCAAATCAAGTGCTCAGAAATGCACACAGGAGAAAGCCTTTAAATACAAAAATGTATCTAAAAATACAGATGCATGTAAATTTATGCACTTTTTACTTTACAGTAAGATTAGTTTACACTACCCTAGCATGGTGTTCACAAAGTTATTTATATAAAAACTTTCTTCAAAGAAGGGAAAGGTTATGCCAGGAACATAAAAAATGCTCTGTAGAAAAATTGTGAAAGCTCATGAGGAACCACAAGAAGAAAAAAGATATTTCTGTTTTCTAGATGACTTATTTGTTTAAAGATTTTAACCTATTTTTTTTACTTAACTATAAAATTTCAAAAAGAGTTATGAACTGCTCCCATCCCACTGAAGCTCTGTCTAGCAGGATTTAACTGAGCTGAACTAGGCTGGACTACACAAAGTAGAGGAAAGATGCACAGGAACAGGAGTCAGAACAATGTTCTTATTGATATTAAAGAGTCTTTTCTGTTTAAAATAATTCTATGACAGGCATTTTGCTTATTTCCTTACTGTAATATTCCTGGCTATGAATTCTGGGACTTCATCATTGGTTGGGGTGATCAGCACAAAAAATGGAGTCTCTGCTGAGCGATGCAACCCATCAGTGACATAAAGTACAAACTTATCCTCTGTTGGCTCCATTCTCATGTGCCTGGCTTGTACATAGTTTATATTCATGGCTTTCAGGTGCTTCAGCTGAAAGGAAGCTAGAGATTTTAAAAAGAAAACGAGTTAGCACAATATTTTCCTGCCCTCTAGTCATATATATCATTAAAAAAAAAAAAAAATTGTCCTTTTTCAAAGAATAAATAACTTGGATAAGTTATCAGTCATTTTTTGGCTCTAAGAGTTACCCTGCACGTGTTACTGCAGGACACATGCCCTTGCCCAAGACAAATATACATCATTCTGCTTCTGGTGGGACCATACATCTTCATACTTCTCAGTTCAACCTGCAAAACTGAGCCCACATAAATATAACTCAACAGGTACGAAAAGGTCTAAGGTCCATGATTCCTTGGCAGTGCTAGGTTAATGGTTGGACCTGATGGTCTTTTCCAAGCTAAATGATTCTATGATTCTATGATTCTAATTACACTGTTATTGGACCAACAGATGAGGAAAATGGGGATCAAAAGGCTCAGTGATTACAGGTTTCCAGCTCAAGAAACTGATAAAAACTGGTAGCCCTACGAAGCATGACACAATCCATTCTGCTGATGGTGAAACAATGTTTGAAAGTGGACAAGAGAAGAAACCCAAGTCAACCACCGTCTCTATCGCCTTTGTAACTTTGCCTTGGAAACTAATGTGGGAGCCGGGTCACTCCACTTAGAAGACAAATATATTGGTGAAGGGGTATGTGAGAGATTTTCATGGGGGAGTGAAATGAGAGGCACAGAAAGCAGACTAATGTCTCATATTGCCACTTCTAATAGACTGCAGCTGGAATGCATAAAACAAGGATTGGCTTGTTTACTTCAAGTGCCAATTTTTCACAAATGCAGGGCTGCAGTTTCCCTTTAAACTCCACCCACACAGTCCCACTGCTCTTCATTTGCCAGCACCTGCCTCCCTAAATAAGCCCATATTAATACCCACACCTGCAGCTGCACCACCATAGCCCACTGCAAAGCCCTCCATGAGCCCTCTGTATTCCATCTGCTTGATTACCATAAGCTGTTAAGACTTACCTATACTTATTCCGATGTTGCTCTTCTCAAATCCAGGAGAAGGCAGTATATTTTCAATGTAACCAAACTGGGGAGGAGAAACCAACACAAACTCTAAGTCATCTGCAGTGGTGTCAGGGTCAGTAGCAAACAAGTGGTTGGTTGTAAGGGCTGCCGAGGAGCCCTCCTCCACCGCAAAACTTGCACCTGCACACAAACAATATGATACTCATTATTGCTTATTTAGCTCATTTTGCTGTTGTTTTTGTTAAAAAGAGTGGAAATAATAACTAAGGGGGAAAATACAACAAATGCTTAGTTACTGGAGGGCTTTGGAGTTTTTTTCTCTGCTTTCACCAACAGCTCTGCTCTTGCTGTCACAGAAGTAGAGAAGAAGGGGATCATGAAATTATTTTACTGGTAAGTTATTAGGTATGGTTTATATACTGCTCAGAATCAGTTGTTACCTCTGTTTGTCAGAGCATTAATTACACGAGACCTGTTAAGAATTGCTTATAATGAACAATTTTTCATGCATCACTGCTTAATTTCCCTGCTGGGACAATGCTTCATTTCCAGAAAACCACTTGGGTGAGAGACTGTAAATTACAAAACTACTCATAGATTTGCTTAAATGTTCTCTGAGATGTATAATATATACCTGACAAATATATGCTTACAAATATATACCTCACAATATATGCTTACAAACAAATGACATTGAAAAACACAAGCATAGGGCAAACACACCTTTAATATGTATACCACAGACCTCATCAAAAGCCCAGGAAACCAATGGAGATTTCACACAATGGGCTGTTGTTGGACTAAATGTACATTACCAATTCTATTTCCACTTTAACTAAATTTTTTTTTAATTCTGAAGAGTACTAACGAAAATGTAGCTTCACATCTATTAATACACAGTCTATCTTTGGTCTTGATTCACTAAAAGAATTAAATATAGGTAATACAGATAATAATTATTCTCTCCCTTCATATAAGGCCCAAATTTCTTTATATACTTTACATGCAAAGGTAGATAGATATTTATGTTTGTGGTTTGCACTGTATAAGCCTGACAATTTTTGGACCCTAAGTTCAGTTCACGGACAAGATATTGATCACTATTACCTAGACATAGCTTATAAATGCAGCAGTGGGCATGTATAGATGGAGGGGAGCAGATCTGTGCACTCTCATCTCTAATAACCACATGATTTAAATACACAGCTGAAGAGCAACGAGCAGTTACTCATACACAGGCAGCTGGACTGGGTGGTTGCATCTGCACTAGCAAAAGAAAAAAAAAGATGGAAATTCTGATCCAAAACTTTTATATGCTGTTCTCAACTGACTCTCTCTAATGCTAAAAGGCAAAGAACAAAAAACTACCCCAAGTCTTTAGCCATTACAGTACTCGGTAGCCCACTTTATAAATGCTATAGTGAGAGGAAGCTTTCACCAGTTGCAATAGATGGAGGCTGGTTGTCCACTGGAAGTACAGTGATGTTAAGGTCATACACAGGAAATGGATCATGAGGTGCAGCTGGAGGAGGAGGAGGTCCATCATAACAGCAGTCTTTCACATCTATGCCAGCCTCACCATCAGAGACAATAAAGGTTAAAATCTCAATGGAAGGAGTCAGACCAATCTCCCCACCTGTAAAAAAATACCGAGGTTTAGAAGAAAAGTTTTATTGAAAGTTCATAAAGAACAATCTTTATCCTGTAAGAACAGTCTTCAGTATTGAAAGTCAGAAGAAAAAAGAAAGCAAGAGCAAAATTACAGGAATTCTTGATTCTGCCTGGTGGGGGTGCTGTTTGTTTAGGGATTTGGTTTGTTGTTTGTAATGAATTTTAACCAGCTCACTTCTACTCTAAAATAAGATGGTGTAGAAAAGAGAATAATTATTATTATTACTAATAGTTATAAATTTCTTATTGCAATGTTATGATGTTACATTGTTGTAAAATGGCTATTAGTTCTCATGATTGTTCTTTGTGCTCTAAGGCACATGCAAAATATACATTGTGCAGAAAAAGAGTTTTTTCTGCATTCCTTGTTGAAGACTGTAGGAAAATTTTTCTTTTGTATACATGCTCTCTCTATGACAAATGGTAATATCCATATTCTTCCAGAAGAAAACTTTTTTTTATATCAAGTAATGCATATATTCCTATGTGCCTCTTATCCCTGCAGAATGGGCTACAACAAGGGCTGTGCTTTGTTACTGAACTGTATATTATGTCTGTGTGTAATGACATTCAAAACGTGGGCTGATATACAACTGGGAACTGCCACCCCTTGCAAGAAGCATCTGTGACTCAGAGCATTCCAGCTCTCACCACCTCTGGCAGACTGTGCCTTGCACTGAAGGAAAGGCAGTGACTCCCACACTCTCTTGTGATATCTACTGGCAGCACATTTAATGTGTAGAAATTTGGGAATGAAAACCACAAACACTTCATGCTTGAAGGTAAAACTTCATTGCCCCTGCAAAATTCTGTCACTGAAATACAGTTCCTGGTATCTTTAGGCCAGATAAGAAAAATTCATTGGGGGTGGTCATAATCAATACATCCTTCTCAAATACCAGCTGTTCATTTTAGACAGTGCCAAGCTTGAAAATATCACATCTATCCTCCATGCTAACACAAAATTACATAATAATTCAACAGAAAATGAGCACCTTTGGAAAAAAAATAAAGCTGTTAATCAGAGATGTTGAAAAGAGAATGCCTTTAATGCTAATGAAAGTATAAAATTAATAGGAAAGGAAGTTAGCTAGCCCTTGATTTCTGTGAGTAATTAAAAAAAAAGTATTAACAATAAAACCACAAAAATAACACCTTTTTAGCACTGTGTTTCTCAAGAAGATCAGAATTTCATTCATCTTATGATGCAGAAAGACTATGAACTATCCAAAAGTAGATATCCTTCTAGATTGGAGAGGCAAGTAAGAAGTACCAAAAGGGTTTTTTACTGTCATGAAACACATAAAAATACTCCAGTTTGTATCTAACTTAATAATAATTTTGTCAAAAAAGCCCCAAGATATTTTGTTAGCAACAGGGAAAGAGGTGTTCCATGATTATGATGCTTTCGTGTACTTGTTCTAATATAATTTTCAGTTGAAACGGGGATTTTGAGAACATATTAAAACATTTGGTAGTTGTCTATCATCAGCCCTATTCTGAAGACAGTTTACTTTTTTCCCTAGCCACAACATGTGGTTCTTCAGCAGTTCCTGCTGAACTTGTGCAAAGGATGGGATTCAGGTTAAGATTTTTTTGCTAAAGCCTCTCTGACCACCTTCCAATGCAGTTCTGCCCTTAACTCACTAGTGTGCTTGTACGTGACTAAACCAGCGATGACATCAGCTTGGGAGAAATGATCCACAGCAATACCAACTTTCCTCACCACCCCGTGGTAGGGCTGGCGAGGCAGCGTAAATGTCAGTTTCATGTCATCACTGTCTGCATCTGTGGCATAAAGGTACTCTGAGGAGATGACCACTTCTTCGCCCTCCAGGCAGTGGAGCACAGGAACAAGGCCTGTTCGCATTACAGGTAGCTCATCATTCACAGGCAGCACCTAGTCAGAAAAATAAGAATTTTTTATTTTTCACTTCAGTGGAAGCCTGTTGTTTCAATACACTGCTTTGCCACCCAAACTAACGATATGGTGTCAGTGTCAGAGTACAGTGAGCTTTCTCTATAAACAAAAAGAAACCAGCTGAATTAAAAATAAAAAGACAGAAGTAAACCAAACTAGATGATTATAGTTTGAGTACAGAGTGCATAATTCCAGATAGAATAACCCAAGCTACAGTAAGCACAAATGCCTTTAAGCTAGTGCAAGTCAAAGCTCCTCTCAAATTTGCCACATGAACCTGAAAGCTAGGGATGAAATGGAAGCCTAACACATTCATTATCTTCCAATTTCCAAGGGAATGCAAAAACTTTCAGAAGTCAAGATCTGAACCCTTTGCCTCTACACAGGCAATTGCTTTCAGAAACAGGCAACGCACTGACCTTGACTTGCAGGATGAACTTTACAAAGTGGATGCCATCTGTGGCTGCAAAGAGAACATCATCAGTGAGAGTCTCAGAGCCATCATGACGATATCTGTGAAAAAAAATTAAAGAGCTACACAGGTTTCTCACAGAAAAAAGAGAAGCTATGCTTTCTGGTCTTGCCCTACAATGTGAATCCCTAACACTATAAAAAATGGTTCCCTGTGTCCCTAAGACTGCTGATTCTGGATCAGAATATCTCCAGAGGGCTTTTGGGGTCTCTGATAAGAAGAAAAGCCCTAAGGTAAACCATATATCAGTTGAGAAAAAGGTTTCCCTGTGGCTTTGTCATCTGTGTCCTGGCTGCTTGTGAGGTGTTTACCAAACATTTATGTTCTCAGTGTGGTAAGTGCCCACTTTGACTAACAAATGGAAATAGAGTCAGAGAACTCTAACTCTGCATGCATGCAGAAAATGTCTTGCTCTTGCCACAAATAAAGAAGCAAAATTTTAATCAGCAAAATTTTAATCTTCAAGTTAATCGTGTTAACATACGTTTTCTTGTAAACTAAGCAAGTTTAATAAACACACAACTTCCTTAAAAGAAAAAAGCTTGCAACCATTGCCTTCTTCACAGGAACTGCACAGCTGAATATAGAATTTGCCTCCTTCTTTGCATGAGCCACTGCTTTATGGAGAAACCTCTCTTCATCAGCTATGGTGCTAATTCCCATTTCCTGGCTACACAAAAGCTCATTTCCATGGTGACATGGCGAGCCCAGGGAATCTTGGCCTAGAGCAGCTCTGCCAGAGCTGTGCTGTGGTGAACATTGCTAGCTGTAGTCTCTGCAACTTGCACCACTACACTGCAGGCTTTTACTCATCTGACTGAGACTCAGCCACACAAAAGACAGCCACCACTCTTCTAACCTGACTGCCAGGGTACGCAGGTCCTCACAGGAAAGCCTGTTGCCTTCCTTCATGGGAATGCCATCCAGCTCCACCACTCCATGCTGAGGCTGCCTCTGCAGGAGCAGGAAGAGATGCTCCTGTTTTGTGTCTGCATCAGAGATGAGAATGTGTCCCTCTGTAACAGGGGCCAGGCCACCCTCTTCCACTCTCAAATGGCTTGTCAAAACCTGCAGGGAGGAGAAATGCTGAGCTCTCTTTTCTACTGCACCTCCAAACATGTACCAAACAGGGCAATTCCCATTTGCTCTGGTATAAGGATGTGTGCCACCTTAAAAACCAAAATGCCAAATACTCTTTTCTGCTGTGTCAGAAAAACCCAGGAGGTTACCTGCAGTGAGCCATGACATGTGTATCCCAGTTCTCATCCCATTTATGGAGGCTCCTGGCTTCCATAGTCAATAAGCAACACAGAGTAGAGGGATGCAGTTATGCTAACCGGGATGTGACACAGTGTTTTTGACCAGATACACAGATGCCAAAGGTAGTCCACAGTTTATTTAGCACAAAATATCTCACTGCACACTCATCAGACTTCGCCTCCCACTTCCATCCTAATGCAAGCCATTAGCAAGACACCGAAACTCTGATCCCATGGAAGCATATTTTTTTTATCAGTCAAATCAGGATATCTCTCTGCATTTCTGTTTCTACATGAAGCAATTTCCAATTCCTTCCTTCTCACTTTCACCACCACTGTACCTCTGGAGCTTGATTGTCCACGGGAAGAATAGTAATATTGAAGCAGATCCCATACAAAGTGCCTCCATGATGATTGCTGACAGAAAAAATAAACTGGACTTGCTTAGGTTCAGGACCGATGTCCTGCAGCGGTGGCATATAGGCAACTTTCATATAGTTCACAGCATGCTGCAAAAAGAGAAGAGGCATGTAACAGTAGATAACGGGAGTACCCATAATTCATGACATAAGGACCTTTCTCATCTCTTGGTTAGATGCTATTCCAACTGTCAAAATTAAGTCCTGAAATTCTGCACTCTTTTGCTACCAGCAATACCTTGATTAAATGCATCTTTAACTGCCAGTTAGGTGAGTACAGGTTCAAATACTCAACTGATAGCAAAAAATATAGACACAATTTATAAGTGATAGCAGAGGTAATAGGTCCCAGGACCTTTTCTAACTGTGATTTTAAAATAAACAATCCATAAAAGCTAACATCTCCCTCAGCAGCTGAATTTGCCCTCACCAGCGTGAATAACAACTGCATGTCCTGTACCCCTCAGTGAGGGCTGGCCAGTGGTAGAGGCTAAAATATTTATCAAAATCTTGCATCCAGATAGTCATATTAAGCACACAGTTCAGGATTTGTAGTCTCAGAGCTGTCATTAATGGTACTGCAACGATCACCAGTATGCAGCTTTAACCACACAGCAGGATATAAAACAGGGCACTTTAGTAATACTTGTTTGTCAAACTGAAAATGCATGAAAACTGAACAAATAAATCCTGGAAGGTGCCTGTTCCCGGCTGGTTCCATACTGTGCCACACCTATTGGTGGAGACACTGAGAAGTGGCAGGAAACTGTTCAACTGTTTCATTTCCACATTTTGTGTCTTTTTTCCTTCCTCTTACATCAGATGAAGCCAAATTCAGCCTACCCTGAGCAGCTGCAGCCCCTGCTGGTTTTAGGAGAGCTGTGTTTACATATTGCAAGACTGAAGCATGACAGAAATTTGTTTTAAAAGCTGATATTGAAATAACAACGTTTGAGCTTCTTCAGGAGAGCTCGTGATAATACTGCTCCTCATTTTCCACCTCTTGTTTTCCTATCAAAAAAGAGCTGAACACTTGTAATTTTTTTACATTGTTTACAACTAGCTATGAGTTCAGATAACATAACAAACCTGAGTAAATGACCGCAGTGCAAGAGCAGCAGGATCCTTGACCAATTTGGGGATGGTGTCCACCATAAAGAGCTTCCCAGCATCTGAGTAGCTACACAAAAATACCTATGTCACATACAGGCTAGCAATACCAAAGAACAGAAGAAAACCCAGTCACTTAGCTCAACCTTGAATTTCAAATTACTTTCCCACTCCCAACTGCATTGAAAGGAAAACCATTTTTCTTTCTTCTATCCTTGCTATTCATTTAAACATTAGCACAGAAAACTGACCACAAGAAATATTTTTCAGGATGGTCATGAAAAATCACCTCATACCTTATAAGCAAGCTCTGGGATTGCTACAAGTATGTCTCTACACATCCCAGATACCATTTACACCACCTGCAAGTCTCATCCATCACATTCTTACTGCTTGCACACCTTCATTTATCTTCATGTAGAAAAATAGATGATTTTTTGTTTTCTTGCATCTTATAAACTCTAAATGAACCAGGTTCCAGCAACCTGGCTTTCCAACAGCAGTGACCAGCAAACTGGATAACTATATGGCTGTTTAAATGACTAGGGGAAGAGCGTAAATGTCCTTCTCCTCCAGCTATGTCCTGATCTTCTGTTGCTTGAGGTCAAAATTTAAAGTGTTGATCTTCAGCTTAAACCATAGAATGTTTGGATTTAAAACTTATCATTTAGCAAACTGTTGCCAATGCTGTAATGAAATCACAGCATCAGTGACATAAACTGCTACTACGCCTATTCATCCCATACCACTAGTTGCCCCCAGAACCTGTTATGCCTCCATTCTGCTCCACAGCTTCCTAGTCCAGGACCAGGAGTCCTTCACAATGCCATGGTAATAACACATATTCTTGAAAAAGCTGTAGCACCTCATCTTCTCAGTCTGGGGCAGGCACGGGTCAGCCTCATTCTAACAGAAGAGATGCTGTGACTTGTGCTTGAGGCTATACAGGATCCCACAGCAGTTTAAAATGCATATCCAACAAAGAAAATATTTCAGGTGAGAAGCTTTCCTGCTTCTTATTTCTTACTAAATTGTGAATTGGGTTTTTTTCATTACAATCTGTATTACTTTACTGTTTTAGGCTCTAGCTCACCCTTAATCATCAACAAGAGAGCTGCAACCAGCTATTGTCCCCTGCCATTTTAGCAAAAAGATTAAGAACTTGAGGCACTAGCATGTTACTGCCACTGAGGCTGCTCCTCTTACGTAGGTCATTGCCCTGGCCCACCTGAAAGGTATGTCAGGTTGCACCTACCCATGGGTGCAAGAGAAATAAGGGGAAGTGGTTATGGTGTATGTGAGCTCCCTGTCTTGCTCTTCCACATCAATGAAGTGGAGATGCTTCTTAGTTAGGTGAGCAATCTCAGTCTCCTTAACAACCAGGTAACGGGTCACGTCTGGGGCTTCTCTGGGGAGCTGATCATCCACAGGAATAACGTGCACCATCATCACCTGCAATTGGGAAGGTAGTAAAATCACTAGCCATTCCTCTCAATAAGAGAATGCCCAAGTAGCTGCTTACAAACATGTACACAGAAGTAAGTGGATCACTGGAATATGAGATACAGGACATGGCTGTCATATCATATCATGAACACGTAAGTAATGGAAGTATACAAGAGTTAATGCAAAGCTTATGAGTCTTAGAAGTTTCCCTCTAAATTAAATGCAAAGTTGAATTCAGTATGTTGGACTCTTGGGTAAAATAAACAGTCTATTCTCATTTGACTTCAAGAGATACTGTCTCCAAATACAACTTGCTTTCAACATTTCACTTTGCAGTGTAGGAAAAAATCTTTGCAATGGACTTGTCTCTCTGCGGCCAGGCAGAGAATTACCCCAAGGAAAGCAAAAATAAGAAATAACTCTGAAGAGTGGTGTTTGTGGTGATGGCAAAGTGAAAATATCTATACCAGTTCAATTTGAAAGCCTGTCAGAACATGTAAGATCATTGGCCATTTTGAAGGAAAAATGCAAAAGGCTGCCCAAGATACTTCAGTTTCATACCTGTGTATCTGAGAGATTGGGAGGATCGTGGCTGTCACATAGCACAAACTCAAGGGAATCTTCAAATACTTCTCCTCCCAAATGATGATAATAAATTATTCCATTAAATAGATCCCTCTGAAGAAAACTGTTGACAGAATACCCTGTTGAATTGAAGAATATATCTTCTACTGAACAGTGCATGATTTTAGTAGTACATTAAAATTATCCATTAGCTCTGCAAGTAACTGGTGAAGCATAGAATAGAATCATAGAATCAGCTGGGTTGGAAAGGACCTCTGAGATCATCAAGTCCAACCCTTGATCCAACACCGCCATGGTTACTAGACCATGGCACTCAGTGCCACATCCAGTCTCGTCTTAAAAACCTCCAGGGATGGAGAATCCACCACTTCCCTGGGCAGCCCATTCCAATGCCTAATTACCCTCTCTGTAAAGAATTTCTCCCTAATATCCAACCTAAACCTCCCCTGGCAGAGCTTAAGACTGTGCCCTCTTGTCCTCTTTTCACCATAACCAGGGCAAGTCCTTTGAAATGTTCTCTCATTGTCTTCCTCATTCTTTGAAGATCATCAGCTTCTTTTCTATGTCACTTAAAGATCATTCAACACATAAAGCAACACAACAAATAGGCCTAAAGCCTTGTTCAGAAGAGAATCTGCAGGACTAGCAGCCTCTACAGCCTAGCACAGGAATTCCTGAATTCAGTTACATGGAGGGAGAGCTTTCTCCTCATTTAACATCATTATCATCATCTGTTAGCTCTGGACTTGTCATGGATCCTTGTAGGTAAACTAACTCCTGACTAGCCCGACTTCTCTGTAGGAGAAAAGTACTGTAGGAAAATAGACTCAGAGTGGAAGAATTGTAGGATAAATAGTGTACATAGGTACAGTTATCCTTATGCAGAGGCTGACGTAAATTAATTATGGGGGTTTTAAACTATAATGAAAGAAGTACAAGTTTGCCGTGATTTGTCCTGAGCCAAAGTAAGTTGTCTGATTGTAACTTTTAATGTAAACAAAAAAGGAGGGCACAAAGAAAAGCATGCTGTTGTGGATGTGTTTCATTACCTATCATGTTTGGTCCTGGTTTCTTCATGATTTCTCCAGCCTGCGATGGCTTGGTAATATTGAATAATATGTAATCATCACTGGAATCCATGTCAGAAGCATGAAGCATGGAGCTCTGAATCAGGATGGTCTGTCCCTCATGAACTTCAATAACCGTATTGCTGATCAGAAATGGAGGGCTGTCATCTTTAGGGAGAATATTGATTGGCAGTTTATGGCGAATACTGTGGGGCCCATCAAAAATTCTAAATACCACAAAGTCCTTAGTAGAATCACTGTCATCGTGATGGTAGTGAACAACTCCAGCCTGAATGTCAGAGACTGTGAACATGAATCCTTTCCCTCCTGTCAAAACAGTGGAAGAAAATGCATCAAAAATGTGTTCTGGGGTTCAGCCCAGAAGAGAATCCTTCCCCCAATATGAATGTCATTAAGGGAGAGAGAAAAACAAATGTAGAAAAATTAAATGTAACTTCATCTATCAGAAGCAAGTTGGTAGAACTTGGAATAGTTAATAAAAATGTAGAATTTGCTACTCTGGCAGTGGAGAAAATCCTCCAAATGTCCATTGCACTAAAGATAACTTAAATGGAGATATCAAGGATTTTTAACTGTGACTGTTTCCACTTTAATTTCAACCTCTACTTTTTTATCAGAACATTTTACATGTATCAAACAGAATATGCTTTATAATTAAACTCAGCATTTCACTGCAAGTAAAATGTTTTGTGGGGTTTTTTGTATATTGAGGTTTTTTACTGTTTATAATAAAACAATTTTATACCTCTGCTTCACTAGATGTGTTATACATACAGACAAGTATTCAGGCAAGTTAAAGGTTTCAAGAACTGTAGTCTGGTGCTGAAAGGTATGATCTCACCAGGGCTTCCAAGAAAAAAACCAAAGCATTCCTTTAAGGTTTGAACATCATTTGGTGCTTACTAGACAAAAAGACAATTGCCAAAAATTGTGTTGACGGTTTCCTCTGCATGTACCTTTGTGGAGATATAAATGAGAACAAGGCATAGTCACTGGAGAAGAAATATCCACCCCTGGCTGGTGTATGGGAGTCTGAGAAACCCTCAGACTGAACATGCAAGTATGGGGCTGCCACCAGGAGATGGGCCCTGCAGGCACAGTTGGTCTACTGCTCTACGGCCTGCAGCCCACCCTCTGCCCCTTGGCAGGCTGCACAGGCCCCCTGTAACACCATCTCTGGGGCTGAGTCTGCTTAGCACTGCTGACACCACACAGCTCTTGTCTGTAGTTTTACAAGAGGATGATCTTGCAGACAATGAACTCGTTGGCAGTAGTTTCCTGAAATAAAATGTACTTCTGAGTAGTTTCTATTTCCACTAAATTCCAAATAGCAACTTCCCCTTTTCTTTAAATGCTTGGTTTGTGTTTCTAGATTATGCATTTTACATGAATGTGTTTGACTATCAAAAAAAACAGCACTGACAGTGGCAGAATGTTCCCACCTTGCGAAGAGCAGAGTCCCTTTTGTTACGTAATCATTTTCCCAAGAGCTGTGCCATCTCATGGGCTGCAGAGCAAAACTTAGCAGTATCAATAAGGCAGAAGGTTAATGAATTACAAGTCTAATTTAATTGTCATTTTCTGAAATAAACCTTAAAGGTACCAGTAAGTACAACTGTGTCCAAATGTTGTCTGTATTTGCCAATAAATCAAAATCACTTGGCATTCTTTAGCATCTTGCAAGCAAAAATGTCAGAAGTGTAAATGCAGTGACTGCGTTTCACCTGTCATGCTTCTCAATGAAAGCATAGGTGATTTCTTTAAAATTTCAGCTTTGGAATGTAAACCTGTATTAGGAAAGTAAAGGTTTAAATGCCAAATCTTTTAATATTCCGATTTTAATCCCCATACCCAGCATGGTTGTAGCAGGGGAAGGCAGTCAGCAGAAGGCGTAGAGCTGTTGCATTATCACAGAGGATAAATTCCCAGTCTCTGGAGTTGAAATGACATACCTCTCACTGAGAGCCGCCCATGCTGTAAGCCATCGACTGTGACCAAGTGAACATTTTGGATGTCATCGTTGTCTACAATTTGGAAGTGTTGCCATGTGATGGGTCGGGATTGCCCCTCTAGGAGGTTGAGGCCTGCAAAGAGCAGAGCATTACATCACCAAATCACCCGTGACATTCAATGCTGTCAGCATCTAGCCCTTCTAAATGTGTTTACAGCCAGGAAAAAAGCCAGAACGTTTAATTCCATCTACACACCTCCCTGCGACAGGCATTCCAGTGGATGTTCAGGTTGGACAAAAGCAAAAATGTCTTCATTGAAAGAGTGGTTAAACATTGAAACAGGCTCTTCAGGGAAGTGGTGGAGTCACCATCCCTGGAAGTGTTCGAAAAACAAGTAGACGTGGCACACTGTGATATGGTTTAGTGGGCATGGTGGTATTTGGATGAAGGCTGGACTTGATAATCTTGGAGGTCTTTTTCAGCCTTAATGATTCTATGACGCTATGATTGTAAGGCCATCTAAAAGCCTGATAACAGCTTCTGACCTACTCACCTTAGTTAACTGTCTTTCAGGCATCTTTTTCAGAGAAATAATCTATTCTGGTGCTGCACAGTACACTTCGTGCAGGTGGCTTGGTGTGCAAACTGCACATTGTGCCCTGGGTGGGGGGGAATGGGTGAGCCCCAGGTGAGGGAACCGTGAATGGGCACAGACCCTTTGTCTAACAAAAGGCACAGGGAGTGGCTGGTCACATAGAAATGCTGCAGGACCTGATAAACAGCAAGAACAAATATCACCATTGGAACAAGTACACAGACTGTGAGGGTATAACAGCCCAGGGGTTCTTTTGTTCAGGGTCCCTCCATACAGACACTCAGTTTGCGCTGGTTTTGTGTTGCTGCACCAAGTTGAATTACATAAAGGAACCAGATATCTGTGACTCAGTTATGGAAAACCCAGGTTCGAGCCAGTAATTAGTCTGATAGTGTGAATGTGGTGCGTGCAGGGAGTCAAGAGGGTCACCCACTGGCGCACTGGAGCTGCCAGCTGTGAAGGGGTTGTGGTCCCAGCAGTGAAAGTCTAGGGTGGTGCAAGTGTGGCTCACAGAGAGAGCCATCTGAACCGTCAGACAGGAAAGTTTCCTTAATATCTGGTTCCAATTACCTGATAAACTAGCAAGGCGCATCTCTGGACATTTGCACAGACTGGAGTCTTGCACTTGAAATCTCACAATGTCTGAAACTGGGCACTCAGCTTCCTTTGTGGGTCTGCATCTAAAAATATATCTTGATCTTCATGATGGAGAACAACATTGCTTCATCTTATTCCAACAATTATTTCAGGTGGGTTTCTCTGTGTAGTGGTTTTGAGTCTAGGCCTTCCTTGGAGACCAGGTTGTAACCAAGGAACCAAGTCCATGTTCCCAGTATTCCATACAATTTTTACGTAAGCAGGAGTATAAAGAAGAAGAGAGAGGAAGCTCTCGCTCTCTTTCTTCCAGCAGACCAAAGGCAAAGGTTCTTTGCTGTCGCTCTGCCCGGGCGAGGCAGTGAGGCCTGGTGCGCCTACTCGGCCTTGAGAGGCAGGGAGTGCCGGCGGTTGTGTGGTGCGGTTCGCTGTTCTCATGAGGGAAGTATTTGCTTTTTATCCTTTTTATCCCTTTTTTCCCTTTTCCCTTTCCCTTCCCTTTTCCCTTTTGGGGGGTTCCCTATGGGTGTTATATTGTATATAATTCTATTTATATATATAAATGTGTTTCACTTGAAATTCAGTTTGGTTTGGATTCTTTTGATTTTTTTTTTTGGTGATCTTTTCGATCCACTGTGAGAGAGGGAGAGGGAGGGGGAAGGTTTTGTCCCTGTGGTCTGGGCACTTGGCTGGGAGCCAAGTCCAACTTGTGACACTCTGGAAGACATGAGGTGCCTTCCTCTCAGCTCCTTCCCTTTCTACGGTGAGGAATCTGCATTTCCTCCAGCATTAACTTCAAGACTCATTTGATCTTACACCTTTGCCTTTTGATGATTAAATATCAATGTACATTTCACTCTCTAACAGGAGACCCTGTTCCCTTTACAGTACAGACATCATAAATCTGTTTGGATTAGGCTTAACCCTGTAAGGTTTCCAGGCTTTAAATGGCTGGTGGTATATTATGCCCTCTTTTCCCAGTCATTCATTTTTGCACACTTCCACTTTAAACAACACCAACAAGCCTTGGTCTTTCCCATATGCTATCCTACTACTTCTATTCCATCATATCTTTGTCCTTACTATTTATGCATTTTTATGTACAGTTCTTTCTTTAAATGCTGTATAAACAAATCCTAATTTTCCCTTTCTTCTTTATTCTTCATTCCTGTTAAAACCTTTAACATGTTCCCTCCAAAATGGATAAAGGGAAAGAATAGATAATATGCCCCTTCAGTTTAATGATCCTTAAACTCCAGATGTAAATCTGAATTTTAGAGCTTTGTCAAATGTCTGTGACAAATGTTATAAATTTTGTAGCAAAATAAACTGAGCAAAAGAGATCTCACCTGTATTCCATGAAACCCGAGGGGCATTTGTATCTGTTGTTCTGATAGAAAGATGGACAGTGATTGGCAAACTCCTTTCAAAGTAGAAGTCATGAACCTCAAACTCCACCTGTTGTGAAAAGAGACAAAGTGTTTATTGAAAAAAAAAAGGCCCTGAAAACCAAATGTACCTCAAAACACATATAGTGCATTATATTCTAAGAGATCTTACAGGCTTCTGATAGTATGTTAATAAACAAAACTTGATTTAAGTTCTAAAAGAAGCAATTGAAGTTCTCCATTAGATTGAGTATCTATCTTCTGTGCTCTTCACAGTGAATTCTGTGAAACTTAGTTTGCATTGTGTGGAAATGAATGGGAAAGATAAGCATTCTCATTGTTTGGAGTACAATTAACTCAGCAATTAATATAAGGCTTTTTTTATTAGTAATAATAAAAGTGGGAGGGGGCATTTCCTGCTCTTGTAAGACATGTAGCATCAAAAACAAATACAAAAGAAAATCTATGGGGCGGCATAGAAAAAATATAATTTTAAGAAAAAAAAACAGTCAGACTCTTGAGTTGTCAAACTCTGTGACTGTCAAATTCCTGAACCTGCAGTCAAACTGTCCTTAAAGCAGGACAGAGACAAAGCACTTAGGGAGCAGACGGTTTAGTAGGATGTCTGATCCTCACACTAAGGAAACAGAAAGATAGGAGATTCCTGTGACAGCCAGGGTTAAAAAAGAGGCCTGTCAGAATCAGGTGCCAGTTACTGTTACTGTTCCTCTGCTTTCCGGTCATCTTTCCTCAGCTTACCTTGCTCTGATTTTTCTGTTTCTTCAGTTTTGTTACTTCAGCACCAACCATTTTGTTTTGATGGGGTAATTCCTTAACTATCTTACCAGACTGTTATTTTATAACTTACTCCAGACTCTGCAGACAGCAGCTTGATCTCATAATTTGCATCATGTTGTCTATGTTAGTGACATGCTTTTATCACTCCCAACAGGAACTGTTGGGAGTCCCTTTTTGTTATCCCCACGCCACCACTGCCACAGCAGGTAGGCTGTAAGACCAAATGGGACTTCTGACCTTTAGCTGGTCCATCTTTCATGACTTTAAATATGTCACCTCTACATAGGATCACAGGGATGAGTACTGCCATGTATGGGTAAAAGCTGTGTGGAAAAGGCACCACTGATCTTTCCAAAGGCTCTTGGGTAGATCTACAAGTACTGTTATTTCCCTATTCCCCTTATAAAAAGTAAAATAAAATAAAATAAAATAAACATCCTGTTTAGATTTTCTCAGTCAGAGGGGCTAAAATATTTCATTGCAAAGAAATTCTTACAAAGTGAGCAATAAATATGTAATTTGTGTTAGATAGTTAAAGTGATGAGTCATAAGGAAAAGTGGTAAAAGATTTTAACCTCTGCTCCTGCACTGTATATAGTTATAGAAACATTTTTTTCTGAAAAATGTCCATTACATATGAATGCATGTATTTACAGCTCACTGAATCTTTTGGAGATTAAAACAGCAAATGCTAATACATTCCACTGTTACCTCATAATTCCTCCTCTCTGTGTGGCTGTTATTTGGAGGCTGATAAGCAATGAGCATGTCACTGAGATCTTTCCAGGTGAAGGAGCCAACAGGTTTTGTGTGGTCAGACAGGTGAGTGATGAAGCCCTGAGGAGGTGGCTTGGTAATGTTGAATACAAGCAGGGACTTTGGAGTTTCATTGTCTTCAGCATCAACGGTTGTGGTTGAAATGGGGGTTAAAATAAATTGATCTACTTCCAGGATGAACTTTGCCATTGGGGCAGCTTTGGGTGTTTGGTTGGGAACAGCACCTTTAATGTGAACAGGGAGCCACGCATACTCAGTCTATAACAGGAAAAAATGAGACAACTGAAAAGGCAAAGTAAGGCAAACAAAGAAAATTCACTGTCTGATAACTTCACAGAGTAAATTGGGGTACACATTAATGGAACAATTATTTTGAAAAAAAAGAATTGAAATCTTTTAATTGCAAAATGCCTAAAGTAAATATTGAGATGTCATAAATATGACTTCCAGGATCACTAGTCTTACTTGTGTCCTTAATCTGGGGCTGAAACAATTTACTTAATATGATGTGAGTTTAATGAATAACTTTATCTGACAGAAGCATACACAAGCCATTAATTATTATTAACTGAATATGTTCACACAACTCTTAACTTGTTAATTACTGTATATGTTGAAGTCACTGCAGATCATGCTGTATAAAAAATGTGGAATTATGCCAGAATTAATTTATCTTTCAGGATAAACTACTTATGTCTGACAGTAATCAACCAAAGATGTTTCTCTGCAGCCATAACGACCAAAGCATGGAGGCATGGAGATAATGCCTTTCATTTTCCCAGCTGGCAACGTTCTAAGAACTGAACAAAGTTTAAGGCTCCCTATCTCTCTTCAAATGTGAAGAAAAACAAACAAACAAAACAAAATACGACCAAAAAAACCACACCAAAACCAGAAAGACAATCAGACATTGTAATCTTGCATAAAAATCTACCTTGTGCAGAGTTTTGCTTCTTCTGTCTGTGAGATCCAATCTCACAGGAATATAATCAATGTCAGGTGAGGGAGGGTCAAGGTGTCGATACCGAATCCCCATCCTCAGAAATTCTTCACAGCTCATTTTTTTGTTGTGAATGACTCCTAGTCCCTGCATGCAGCTCCCATTTCTGCACTGCTGGCCCAGGCTGTGCTCTGTAACCCAACAGAAGCAATAATGAAATAGTTACTGGAGCAAGAAAGGACAGGGGGAACACGTCTGTACAAATAAAGATGAGATGAGAATAAGGGCTCCTTTCCTGACTCAACTTTTCCTACAGGTTTTTATTTTTAACTGACATCTTCCAGTCTCATCCTCCCTTTGTCTCTGAGTTAGTTGCTGCCTTAAACAACTCCCTAAACTGTTTCTGTTACACCTTGGCACTCACAGAGTGGTCACATTTTGCCCACACATCTAGGAGAAAAAACTCAAATCACGGAATTACTGACCCAGATCTGCGATCTGCATTGTGCCCCACAAAAATTTCATGTCTCTTTCATGTCCATGATAGCTCAAGCTGTTCATTAAACTTCACATGACCCACTCTTACCCAGCATGTCTGAAACAACCCACTACTGCAGACTTAATCTGCTGTGTCTCTTTGAACATGCTAATGCAAACAACTGAAGCACATCGTACTAGTGCCAGGGAATGAGCTCCGTGGCTGATCTCCATGAATCTGCTCTTGCTTCACTTTCCCGGTGGTGAGCTGGCCATGTGCAGGCAGGTGGGTTTCTGAAGAGATTATGGAAATGGTGCAATCCAGATTTGTCTTCCTGTCATAATCAAAAGTGAGAATGTTCTTGTCAATCACCCTGGACAGACCATAGTATTCAGGGACCTCCAGGGCATGGGAGCGCATTTTTATGATGTTGCAGTCTGGCTCAAGTAACTGCACGTGAAGGGTGAATGTTTCTACAAATGTTTCCACTTCTGTAAACCTGCAAGTGACAGAAGAAAATCAATTATGCTTCATCCCATCTTCTGTTGTTTTGAGAATTGGGCACTGTCCTTATCTTCTAAACTGAATTACTTGAACCCCTTTCTCTCTTGTGCCCTCAAATCCCAGACTGCCATGGTCCAGACCCTGCTGCCCGACTCCCCAGTCTTGTAAGCAGGGTGTCTATGGGAAGGAAGAGGTTACTCTCTGTGTATATGCAAGTGTCTGTCCCTATCAGCAGAAGAGCAGAGAATATACACTACTCTGAAATTACTGTTGTCACTCTCAATAGCACAATGAAAAATCACTGAGTTTCTGTTGTAAGCAAGCAATGCATAATGCACGTATTGTGAGTGTATTTGCAATACATGGTGAGAAATATTTCTGTAAACAGATGGTCACTTTTTGACTAATGATGCAGCTACTGGATCGAAGTAGTTACAACATGTACAGCAGAGCATGCTTTTACTGTGAAAAATGGACTGTTTGCTCTTCCTGAAGGTGTGCTCCTGGTAACAGTGAAGTGGGATCTCCTGCCACTGCTCACCTGTACAGCCTAAGCATGACCATGTCTTCGTCTAAAATTGGACAGCCATTGTGGGTATATTTGACTTCATTAGGAAGGAAGTGACAGTCAAAAACCTGTGAAGAAGAAAGAACAGATTAGTACAACACTGTCAAGGATATTAACTTAACGGCATCTGTTCAATTCCTCTCTGAGTGTCAGTAATGCATCAGACTGAGAGAATTTTTAATACGTATTTCATTTCTATGTATAGGTATTCACCTGTTCTGTAATCTCCCAGTGAGAGTCAGAGCAACCACTTTAATGTGGGGCTCCTAGCCCTCTACAATTAGAAGGTGAAGGGCCACAAGTGATTGTTTCAGGCTGTCAAGTCCCTCCCCAGTGCAACAAATAATTTGAGCTAGTACTTCTTTACCACTGCAGCCTGTGGAGTTCAGGATGCAGGTGTATCCAGTGGTACATACAACTGCAGTGGTGCTGAAAAATAAGCAGTTCCTGCATTGTAATGTGAGATTTATCAGCTTCTAAAGTTGCTCATGGAGGTAGCTTGATTATATAGTAAAACTTGATTTCTGGTCACTACCACTGGACTACAATAGAATGACCCAGAGACACTTCTCTGTTAGAAATTCTGACAACTGAGATTTGTTCCATGTTTTTGTGATACTGACTTTGTACCAGCAGCTCTTTACTAGATCAGATATCATCTCTGTGCCATACCTACCCCATCCCAAAGTCACTGTAATCCCAAGCAGATTTCTATATTGTTTCCACTAGGTAAATCAAAATAGACTAATTCTTATGATATATCTGATACAGGCAAAATCTGTGAGGCTGTCTGGCCACAGTTTAACCATCTAAGCCAGACACTTGTTTCAAGCAGATTGATTTATTTAATAGTTGGTCTTGTGAAAGCAAGGCAATGAAGAAAAATGCCTGACACAAATAGAAAAAAGATTGCTTTGTCGAGTTCTGACACACCTATTCTTTACAAAAGGGATTTGGATTCTGGAGCATACAATGTTCATGTCCTCACATACTGCAGTTTTCAAGTCTGACAAATTACAGTTCCAATACTGTGATGTTTCTTTATAGAAACATCAGATGAAAGCTCCTAGGGTGGATAAAACCATGTCTGTGTTATCTCTTTGATAACAGGGAAACCCTACACCATGGTCCATGGAGGATACTCAAGTTTCATATCTACAGAGAGACAAGGCTTATTCTTGTCAGCAGGAAGCCAAAAGTTGATCACTGCATTACCTATCTCACTGTGAATCTAAATTTAAGTTTGGTTGCATTTTTATGGGCACTATACACAAATAGTTATATGGACTTCCATATAAATTCCATAATGCAAAATCTGTTCAACATTCACTAATAGACCTAATCGGGCCATAACTAATAACTATTAACTACATATATGGCTGACTGACATGTCACGTTTTTGTTGGTTTTTTTTTTAAGAGGTCATTTCTTACTGACAGTAATTTCTTAAAATATGACAAAAGAATCATGAAAATGAAGTGCCTTGCTTGAATTACCTTCATTTCCCCAAACACTTTGGAGGATGGTGGAATGGCTTGGGGATTTTAGTGAGATTCTAAAATGCTGACTGTAAGTGCAGCTCATGGAGAAAATCTTTGAATGCTCTTATTTTCAGTGCAAAAATAAATTAATACTCTAATTCCTAAACTAGTTGTCAGAATGGAAAACTGGTTGGAATTTATCAGCTTTTATTATTACTGGAAGGGTCCACTTTTACTGAAGTTTTTCTCAGATGCTCAAGATATGTGATAATTGTTCTATACTCTTAGCAATTTTAAATGTATTGCCTGCTTTTAATTTTCATCAAGATGTGCACTGTACAAAGCCTTTTTTTCTTTTTTTTAAGTAATGGATTAGTTGATTTTCAGACACATACACAATGATCAACCTCTTAAAATAATCTGTAATATACAGTGTTACCAAAAGTATGTTTGGTTTCATTTGTTAACTCTGCCTAGAAACAAAGGACAAAAACAGTTTGTGAAAAACAAAATTACTCTCGTACGATGAAGGTTTTGACTATGTTGTGGCTGTTCTGTTGTCTATTATTTTCAAATGCCACAGAAATATGTGCTTTGCTGTTTTACAAACAAAACCAACAAATATCTCTCTTTCTTCCTTAATGTCTTTTCTTTCTTAGTACAAGCTAACATAAAGGAACATGGCAGTTAACCAATTAATTAGATAGTCTTAAGTGATATTCTACAAAAATGGAAAATAAAATTAAGTTACACGGTGTGTTACCTTCAGGGAAAAAAAAGAAAGTATATTATATACAAACCCCACTCATATTACAGCTTCAGAAGATTAATGTTGTACCCCAAAGATGAGACTGATGAGCCCTTGAAGTCAGTAGGGTTTTGGTGACAGAAGGATGCTGTGGGGGACCATGTCAAAGGCTTTACAGAAGTCCAGATAAATGACATCTGTAGCCCTTCCTTTGTCCACTGATGCAGTCACTCCATCACAGAAGGTCACTGGATTGGTCAGGCAGAACTTGCCCTTGGTGAAGCCGTGCTGGCTGTCCAGAATCACCTCCCTGTCCTCCATGTCTCTTATCATGGCTTTTCTCAGAGGATGTGTACCATGATCTTCCCAGGCACAGAGGGGAGTCTGACAGGTCAGTAGTCCCCAGGGAGGATCTACCCTTTTTAAAGTTGTAAAATGTTTCCCTTTTTCCAGTCTGGAAACTGGGATTTGCCCTAACTGCCATAACTTTTCAAATATCATGGAGAGAGACTACATCAGGTCCCATCATATCAAGGAATTAATTTTTCTCATTTTAAGACATCACTAGTTTCACATCAGGGAGCCCCTGGTGGTCCAGTGGTAAGGGCGCAGCGCTGTCAGCGCCGAGACCCGGGTTCAATTCCCGGTCAGGGCCACTCCCCGGGCCAGATGGAGCTCGTTAGCCTTAAAGGCAACCCACCTACGTCCTGAGGACCTCACTGCCACTGTCCAAGCTCGCTTGGCCCTGGCAGATGAACCTTAGGATTAAAGGGTGGGCTCAGTTCCGCGCACACTGTGTCTCACCTAAAAAATCCAATGTGCAGGCTGGAAGGTGTAAAGACCTTCCCCGGATCTTCGCTCACGAAGACTGGCCATTATTATTATTATTATTATTAGTTTCACATCTTAATTGATAACAAGGGGATGGAAAATGAAGGACCTTTCCATGAATATCTGCTACCACTGAGTGACAATCAGTTTATATGTTTATTAAGACACAATCTGCTTTGCAAAAAGAAACATCTGTTTTATGTTTCCTGATATGTTTTCCTTTTATATGAACAGGCAACTCTAATTGTCTGTAAATTTGCTGGGTAAGACAAAGGAGATCTAAATCTTTTCCTAATTACTGTTTAGCTTTGTGGGGTTTTTTTCCACTTCAACTGCCTTTCAATTACAATTTATAATTAAATTGTCATGCATTCCTAGAACATTACTCACTTTACTGGCAGTAAACCAGATCATAACAGAGATGTTTTTTAGCTGCAGAGTCTCCTGTAGGAAGAGCACGAGTGGCCCCAGGAAATCCAGACTCTAGCACCTTTGTTTGGGAATGGAGAAAGCTCAGGAAGCACGAGCAGCCACAGCCTCTCTACAGTCTGGTACCCTGGGGTCGCCTGTGCAGCAGAGCCCTTCCCTCTAGATGTTGTGCCTGCGGCCTCCAAGAGCCACACTCGACTGCCTGGGCACACATCAGAGCCATGAAATGACAGGTTCTCAACAGAGATGGAGCTGCGAGTGGGGAAGTCAAGGACTGCAGGTATTTTGGAAAACAAGGTATGGGGAATACACATCTCCTGGGATCTCTTGAAAAGTACCTCTCTAACTGTGTCCTTGAAACATGTTGACTTACACAGGACAAAGAGGCTATTTCAAAACACCTGGTATTTCTACAGCACATAGAAGCTGAGGTGGAAACTGAAAGCAAAGTCACTTCCTCAGCCACACTGCCTACAGAAGAGGTTTGTCAGAGGTTTGACATATGTCTCTGTTTTTCTCCTCTTTTTCTTCCTCTTCTTTAGATTGGATATTAGGAAAAATTTCTTCACTGAAGGGGTGGTCAGTGTTCAAAACTTGTGTAGATGTGGTGCTTAGGGACATGGTTTAACAGTAGACCTGGCAGTGCTGGGTTAATGATTGGACTCAATGATCTGCAAAGTCTTTTCCAACCTTAATGATTCTATGTTCATATGAATCAAGAGCCAACCCACACTGGGGAAGCAGAGGTGGGGTACTATGGTCAGAGTCTCTGTGCTGGCAGAGAACAGGCCCTGGGGAAGTTTCAGCAGATGCACTACATTTCTTGGGGCCAGTCTCTAGAGAAGATCACACATTGCCCTGCTCATTGCAACACCTCCTGTTTTCCGTCACTCTGTTGCATAGTGGTGCTGATTCAGCTGAAAATACTTGTCAGTGGTCTGTGAAAGTAACAATGAAAAAATCTACTGAAACTGGTCCTCCTGCACCTACCTTCACAGAAACCACCAAAAACTCGGTGAGGATGTTTAAAACTATATACATATACAAATATACAAAAGTGTATGCTGTATGGTACAGTAAACAAAATTTTTCAAGAAGACAAAACCTGTTTGCCTTTGTTTCATTAAAACCATTCATCTCCTATCTATATCATTACCTCTTCACATCAATTACTTTCTAATCCTTCCTGCTATGACTCAGGTGGGCCAATTTGTAAAGCAGATGAGTAGCAGAACGGTGATATGTGAAATACATTTCATTATTCCTACAAGCTTGACATTTGAACAGAAAACAGGGGAGTTTTAATGTATTTGCCATCTGCTAGCAATTTGGATGTTGCAAAGCAGAGCAAACAATGGTGTACACAATGTGCTTATTGTATGTGATGATTTTTTTCTTAATTGCTCCCTAAGTAGTGGCTTTGTGACTAAAATGCAAAATGCTGTAGTACCCAAGGGGCACTGGTTACCCTCATGATCGAAAAGCTAGCAGCTGAGGGGCTCGAGGATATCTCCTAACTGAAAGTTTTTAAGTAGTCATTCTTTGCTTGTGAAAGGAGACTCTGAGCAAGCCCACTTCTGTTCACTCATGTTACTGAGCTCAGCTTTTGGATTTCCACGTTGCAGTTCTCTGCCAGCTGTCTACTTATGCAAAAGGCTGAATCCCACAGGTCATTCAGTTTCATGCTGTTTAGTCACTATCCAAAGGAAAAAAAAGAACAGTAAGGCAGCTCTTTCTGGTTTCTCCCACGTGAACACTCAAAGCAGCACAACGGAGCCCAAATACCTGTGGAGTTAGTTGTCCAACTCTCTGTGTTATTGGCTCATTAATCACAACTTCAACTTTGCAGACATCCTTCTCTCTGGGAATGGAAAACTTGAGGTCATCTTCTGACAGGAAGACAGACTGTCCCTTCATCACTTTCACCCCATGGTTCACACTGATAAAGGAGGAGCACACCACTCTTAGCACTACAGGCAGCAGCAGAAACCACCAGCTTTTCTCAAAGAACTTCATATTATAAGGGGATGCCAGCCTTTTCCACCAGTGGAAAAAATTTCTTAACAAAAGGAGTCTTCTTTCTCCACCAGCAGACTTTTGCCCTGTAATGAAGCAATAAAATATTAGTTGCAGGTAAAAATGTGTGACATGTTTTCTATTAAGAGTCACTCCTTGACTGAAATATGGGGGACTCTTTTAAAATATTCTTGGGATTTATAAAATTCATCGACCAAGACTGACAAAATAATGAATGTTTTCTCAGAGTCCTTTTAAGGTTTGTTAATCCTGAAAAAAAATAAAAGAAAGAAAATTGCTGTAAGGAATCAAGCAACTACTGGGATTAAAAAAACCTACAAACACAGACACAAAAACCTTCAACCATTTCTTACAGTTGCAGTTCATTTAAAGCAGCAGCTTAATTTCACATGTGTTAGGTCTGGCTGAGATGGAGCTCATTTCCCCACAGCTGTGCTTTGCTTTGGTAGCTAGAAAAGTGTTGGTAACACACCAGTGTTTTGACTGCTGCTGGGCAGCACTGGCACAGCATCAGCACTGTGACATGCCTCCCCCCAGTCAAGAGAAAGATCCTGGGAGGGGACACAGCCAGCCCAGCTGACCTAAAAACTAACGAAAGGCTAGTTATATGATGTCAGCTCAGATATAAAAGCTAAGGAAAAGAGAAGGAATGGAAGGGCATTTGTTGTTTACAATGTCTGCCTGCTGAGAAACTGCTCCACGTTCTGAAGCCCTGCTTCCCGGGAAGTGGGTGGACATCTCTTGCTGATGGCAAACAGAAAATAAACCTTGTTATTTTCCTCTTCCCTTTTGCTTTAGTAAATTGCCTTATCTCAAGCTATGAGTTGTTTTCCATCTTTTTCTCTCATCACTGTGTGGCTGGGAAGGGGAATGACAGGGCAGCTTGGTACCTGGCATCCAGCCAGGTTAACCCACCACTGTCTTTTCAGTGCCATGACTTGGATCATGAGGACCTTGAGATAAGGATAGTAATTGGGAGAATAATGGGCAAAACAAGTACTGAACATTGTTGGAGAATGAAATGATCATGGGAAATTTTTGTTGTAACTGTGTGAAGGGTCAAGGTGTGGATTTTGTGTGAATTGTCCATTTTTGTTTGGTGTTACGATGATGTTGTTTTTATTTTTGTATGGGGAATTTTTGTTACGTTAATGCCCTGACTTCTTATTTGCCAAAACCTTAACACCAACAATGATCTTTCCTGAAAGTGAATTAAAACCCAGATCCTTGTATCTCTTTATTTTCTTCATTGTTATTGACAGGTTTTACTCCACTGTTTCCAGCAGAATGACCTTCTGAACAGCCTATAATTGAATGCACACATCCACCCAGCTTTAAATTTCACTGGAAACCAATCAGCAGTTCATAAATTATTTAAAATTTTTCATTTCCTAAAGTAAGACAAGACAGATCACTTCACCACAGATTCAAGATTGACTAACATACATTTAAATTATATATATGTCGACTATGTAGTTTGGGACACAAATCTTAACTCTGGTTTTCTAGCTGTTTATCTTTCCATTTTGGTTTAAAATGTTGCAGCCATATCAGTCTGAAGAAAATCGGAGGCAAAACATAGAATTCTAGCCAGAGGAAAAGGAATGAAATTCATAGTAGAAAATGTTTTAACGTGTTTAATTAACAAATCAAAATCTCAAATAATTTTTCAAGAAGTTTACTTACACAGACAGGTTTTACTAAAATCCATTTATGGAAATATACCCAAAATACCTGCTAAATTTTGTTTCTTTCTTGGGGGATGGGTATCCATAGCACTTCCTGAGACAACACTCCACTTTCTAAAATTCACACTTTTGAAAAACGGTCTGCAATCCTATAAAGAACAACTAGGAAAAAGGGGGAGAAAAAGATACTACACTTCAGATTCCAAGTGTGAAAGTATGGTTTGCAGCAAGCGCACCCTTTGAACCTGAATATCTGACTGCCATTTATCACATAGTGCATGGATTTCTAGCATTTATCAAATATAATGTGTTTCCTAAAGTACCAGCTGCAAAGCAGAGAGAGATGTTCTAAGCGAAAAACCTCCTCTACTGCTGTGTCCTTTTTTTGACTTCCTGGACTGAACAAGGTGAAGATAGGGCTGAGGAAAGTGAAATAACCACTCTGACATATGTGTCACAAAGTTGCTCTGAGGAAGCTCCTGGCACAAGGACTGCAAAGGATTTTAAATCCTTTGAAAGAAAATAATTAGGAATTTTAGATTCTGGCTAGGACCTGGCAAAGTGCTAAATGGCAGTGAATGACTCTGAGCCACAAACCTGGTGTTTTACAGCTCATGACAATGCCAGTAACTCTGTGCTCCATAATAGCAGGCGGGGGCATTTATTTGTGGTGCAAAAACCCTTTATTCAGAGGGCACAGGGCACCTCAGGAGAAAAGATAAAATTAAAGCCTGGAGAGTTTTGACTTTCTCCACTCACCTGAATAGCTCCTGTAAAACCACGTCACAGTTCAGAGACAGCCTAATCGCCATTTCACAAACAGCACTAGTCGGGAAGGGTATTGTTCTCTTTACACACTATATATGTGCTTACAAGAAGGGAAAGCAGATGCCTCTCTCCAACAGGCACTGGCAGAGTCATTCACACAGACACCTCTGCACCTCAACTCTGCTACAGCCCAGGCTGATCTGCTACTGGTGCCTGCCCCGTAAAACCCAGCACAGAGTGCAAGTGAAAACCTCCGGCACAGGCAGTAGTTTCTTTGTTGCCTTTTCTTACCCTGCATCAAACAAAGAGCAGAGTCTCAAAAGGGAGCCAGGAGCATTTTGACCAATTTCATGTTGGTTGTGTGAGACATTCTCTGAAACAAATTTGGTTATGTTGTCACTGTCTTGCTTTGACTGCTTTTACTTGCAGGCACTACATGTGTTTGCCCGGTATGTTCCAGCCACTCGTCTGCTGAGTGCTGTCTTCTTAGGTGGCCAGGTGAAGATCTTAGGAAGCATTACCTCACTTTCTCAATCACTTATCTAACGTTAGCAAAATGAAATGGCAAGTGACCCTTTCAGCACAAAATGGCAATAAAAGTGAGAAGGTTTTGGTGTGAATGCCATCATATTAGCATCTTCCCCCTATATGAAGAAAGTCATTGCTTCAGTGAAGTCGTGTGTGTGCTACATGGCACTAACTCTGATCAATAGCAACACTGAGCTGCTCTCCAGCAGCTCTACAACTGCTGGCGATGCCATTGCCATACTTTGTGGCTGCTTTGGACTTCCTTACAGTCTCCTTACTTCTCTGCCCCTAATATCACAGCTGAACCTGATTCATCCCTACCATTCCTTAGCATGTCATCTGTGTACCCAGAATGGACATACAGCCGAGGCACTGTAAAATCCAAATACACCACAATATTTCAGATGTACTGAGGGGTTTAAAAGAAATAATGGTGTTCATGAACAACACATTAGGGGAATCAGTATAGTGAAACTAAGTTGTTTCCTCATCCACTTTCTAGGAGTCTGTCTATATGGCAAAACACCTAAAATAACTCCAGGTGCGCGGTGTGAGTACAAAGCTACCAGCTTTGGTCTCAGAAGCAAAACAGTCATGTCAGTTCAGTGATATATCATATATTAGCTGTTATTCCTCAGTGGGGATGTAGCACATGATTTATGAGGAGAGGCTGAGACAGCTGGATTTGTTCAGCCTGAGGAAGAGAGGGTTTATTGCTTCTTTTGGACTTCTAACAAAAGAGTGCAGAGAGCCTGGAGGTGCATAGTGAAGGGACAAGGTGTAATCCACAAAAACAGCAATACAGGAAATTCACATTAGATACTAGAAAAGAAAAAAAAAAAGACATTGTGATTATGGACAGTAGAACAGGTTTCATGGAGTCCTCTCAGAGATATTTTTAAAAAAAACTAATCAGGGCCTGAATTGCCTGATGTACCTTTGAAGCTGTACTTGCCATAAAAGCTGGCTGTTATCGGAGCAAGAGATGGGAGCAGTTACAGTTGTTCACCCTAAATCATGTGGTAATTCTAAGCAGAAATGACAGAGCCAACTAACTGCCAGGACCCAAGTTAATTACCTGGTGTAGTTTTGCAAAACACTGCATCATACCCTGACAAGTCTCCAGTAATTCCCACAGGATCCAATATTAAACCCTACTGGTAAAAAAAGCTATGATAACAAGTAAAGAGACCACCCTTCCCATAATTATAGGTAGATTAGCCAAGCTGACACTGAGATTTGGAAGCCTGGAAAACACGTCCTGAAGATGAGTCCAAGGCATTGTACAAGGGACACTGGGCAAGGGGAACTCTAAGGAGTTACTCTGCTGGAGAACTCTTGCCCTGCTCTGCAGATGAGGCCAGGATAGGAAGGCTGAGGCAGTGAAGAGGCAGCGAATACTACCCTGTAGAGTTAAAACTGAGGGACATACCAAACTGGGGGCAACGTATGGGATAGTTTCTGTGGACTTTAGATGTAGTTTGTTAAAAATTTCCTTCAAATGCCAGAAGAACTAGTTTTCCCTCAGGGCTTCTGGTGCACATTTACGAAAGGATACAACTGTTAATTACAAACATTAGCATTCTCACCAAATACAAATGGTGAGTCTGATTTTGAGGAGAGCTAATTTGATGTAAGTAAAAGAGGAATCTAAATTACTTACATAGCTATCTACCAGTACCAAAAAACAAAACAAAACAAACAAACAAACAAAAGCCAAACCAACCAAACAAACAAAAAAAGAAACTCAGAAACGGCACCACTAACTCTCAGCTGTAATACCTAAAACCTGACTAAAGAATCTGTAATTACTAGTGAACTTGACCCAAGTCTCTATACAACCAAAATCTTCACTGGGATTTGTATGAGACTTTAAGGGTTTCTCCGTGTGTGACAAAATCTCTGGTTACCTGGGATATTTCACTGAACAGCTGGATCAAAAATTGCCCTCTTTTTTTTCAAAGTTCTTGGAGATTACGGAGAATGATTGTTGTGGGATGGGAGTTGCATTGATTTGTTTTAATGAATATCAGAAAAGGTTTACAAGAAACAGAAAGAACAGGATTTTTTTTTAGGATGGGTTGAAAGAAAACAACTAACAGTGTTCCAGGGCTTCTAGGAAACAAGACAAATATTTTTACAGCAATTAAAATTCAGCCCAGGGCAACAAAAGGATCATGAGTATTAAATTAGCTCATACAATCACATAATAGTTTTAGACAATATTCATCAAAACATCAAGTGCAATCCAGCTATAGTCTGACTTCACAATCAGCTACTAGAGATCTCTGAATACTTTTGCAGGACTTCACAATGGTAGCAACTAGAGTAGGAAACTACACACTTTATCAGGGAATGTTTAGCACCTTCCCAAAAGTAGTTTAGGAAGATTTAGGAGCTACTGACTCTCAGGTTCAGGGTTTTTAACCCAACTGCACAAAAGGCACCTGAATCAAACAAGGATCATGTTTTGTGAGTTGTTAAAGCATGAAATGTTACATGGACACCCTAGCTACAATAACTGTAGCCCACACAGCCAGTGCTATGAGATAAACTAATCTGGGTCCACAAGTGAATGCCACATAATCGCAAAAAATGAGAGAACCAAAGTAAAGGTATTGATGACAAATTATTCACTCAGTCCCTCTTTATGTTCAAACAGGTACAGGCAAGTGGATTACATTTTTAATGCATCGTTATTTGAGTAGCATGTGCTATTTTGTTGCCACCTGTAATTCACAGATTGATAGAGGCAGTGATAGTTTCTTTTCCCCACAAATAGATGAAGTCCTGTTGGACTGTAATGTTATCACAGGCATATAGGATCAAGACCACTTGTACTAACACTATTATTATCATAGATTAATATTATCCAGACTACTTCAAGGACTGTGGAAAAAAATGAACATAAGAATGAACAGATAGGAGGTATTGTAATTTAAAATTAAAATCTATGCTGGAACATATGTTCAAAATCTAAATGTCCCCAGATCCAAACCACCTCATTGTCTAGGTTAAAATGATCTGCATGCAGTTCACGTTGCATGCAAAACAAACCCTAAGGAAGAATCATGATGAAAATGCTGGCAGACACAGCAATAACACCTGTGCAAGAAAAAAGAGCTGGGACAACTTGTATAGATGTGTGTGCTGTTCTGTGAAAACAACTAGTAGTCTGCAGTGCCAATGTCTCCCAGTGACACCCTGGACAGGTCAATAGAGATGCATTTTGTCTAAGGTAAAGTGCAGTGCCGAGTTAGCTGAGATGACAACTAGCAAAACCATAACTGGCAAAATCCCCTTTCAGTAACCCTTTGAAAAAACTGTGGATAATTGTCTACAGAGTTTGTTGGAATGTCTCAGCACAACACAGAGTGACAGTAACTAACCTCCCAAAGAGAGAGCTTGTTTTAGAGTTTAGTTCTAGATAAATACATACAAACCAGCAGGAAATGTAAAAACTGTGCAAGCTCATATGTTTTAAGGAACATAAGTAAGTATTCATTCATATGACCAGTGAACATCTGTCTCATTCAGATAAACCAAGTCAGTTGTCTGAATGTACATGAAAATGTTAAAATACAGATCCTTACTGCAAAATAAGTGTACAATTTAAAACATGCATTTAAAAAACAAGTTATGCCAGCTAAATTAAATATATCCTATATAAAGACCTAGTAATTTCGAAAGTTTTCATTATATTTTCAATGTTTTATCTTTTTCTTCTAGTGTGTCTTATTAGTAAGACAATTCTAAGCAAAGAAATCTTGCTTAGTGCTGCCAAGCTTTTATAAAAGATAAAGCCACAAAGTTTTATTAGATTTGACAGAAAAAAGCCAACATACTTGAGAAATCTATATCAGCTTGTACATTAGGATAAAGTAAGTTGCTTGGGACCGTTGGCTTTCATGTTAACTTGCTAAACTACTGGCAAGAACCAGTGTCTACTTTCCTCAAAGAGAGAACTGAGATTTCATCCATCCCGACTACAAAAATTACTGTCTGACTGCTTGGCTGCAACATTCAGCAGCAAACTGAACTCTGCAAGCTGTTAAGCACTATTACAACCACAAACACAACAGGATTCAGTGTACAACAAACTTGAATCAGATACTTACAGGCAGCAGTGTTTCTGCAGGAGGCTGAACATGAGAGCACACTAGAATAAGAGGAAAAATGTATGTCACTGGCCCAGGAATCTCTAGTTTAAAAGGCTGGCAGGGAAAGAAATCCAGTGAGTGGGCGACAGAGAGAAAGCAGAGAGGGGGAGGGGAGAGATAGATGAAATTCCAGTCTTTCTGGTCAGCTTGGCTGTAGTTTTCTCCGTACTGAAAATCTGCGATAAACACTCCTTGCTTGTAAGACTGACTGCAAAGTCCCAAATCACAAATACTTTCAGGCTCCCTATGATCACAGCATTCAGAGATGCCTTGTAGTGTTCACACTCAGCAATGATTCTCTGGCAGCCAGCCCCAGATCTTCCTTTCCCCTTCTGCTAGTTAAGTCTGTTGGGACTAAAAACTGAGCTGCTGTTATTAAGGTTTGCTCACTTATTTCTTCCCACTTCTGTGTTTATTTCCTTCAACACACACACAGACACACACTCACATTGACACACAGACACACGCTCACCACCCCGGGAGTATTCAAATTTTAATTTTTTTTTCCCCATTCAGAACAGCAAGAAAGAGGATAGAAAAAAATCTTACCAATTATGTAATACCTCACAGAATTCAAGATATCTCTCCAGCCTCCTCTCATGAGCTTCACATCAGATTTGCATATTTGACTGGCTGGTGGAATTCTAAATAAAATTTGCTGCCACACAGTGGGTCATTGGTGCACCCTGAGAGATAAACCCCACAGTCCAAATTTTCAGAGCACAGACGTTGTATTGCAAAGTCACAATATAGGGAGAGGCCATCCTATGTCCATCTCAGCACAGGGACCAAAAGAGTTTTTAAGCATAGGGGACAAAAATATTTTCAGCCCAGCCACAGGACATTGTGACAAGGGCAAGAGGGACAGCGTGGGGAAGAACTACTGACTCCCAGGTTGCCTGTGCAAATAGGAGCCAAATCCAGCACAACCGTAACACTTAGCATGTTGTCTCCCCTTGCCCCTCTTCAAACCAGCAAGCTGACTTGACCCATGCAAGGAAATAAAACCGCACTATAAAAATGCACAACTGAAGTCAATAGTAAGAAAGAAAAGAACCAGCAGATGTTCCTGTGGCATGACTTAAAGATAGATGAAGAAAACATATGGCTGTTAAAAATTAAAATTAACTCAAAGCTATACCATGTGCAATATGATACAATCTGGCCCATATTTGCTTATGAGAAAATACTAGGCAAAAAAGATACATCCGTGAGGTACATCACCAATATCAGAGTGGTATACTGGCCTGGATTGCACACTGCACATTTTATCAAGTTTCAGAAAAACTTGGAATGAGTATTTATCTCCTCTGAGAGATGTGCGTTAACCTGTGTGTTTGTATTTTTGCTTGCTGGAACGTAGCTTCTAATTCACTGTGATGAATGGCCTGTTTTTATTGCACAGTGATCTGGTTAGGATCATCAGCATAACTGTCCTTACAGACTGATCAAAAAAGTGGCAGCTTATTTTAAAATGTAACATCTGTGACTCATTAATCAATAATATAATGGCAAACTAGTTTTATTACTCCAGAAATAAACTTGGCATTTCATTTCTTATTGTACTCTTTAACTACGATTAATTTGTGTAATCTATCAGGGTCACATTATCTAAAGGATAGACCAAAATTACCACATCTTTTCCTGAGAAATGCCAGAGCACAGAAGAGCACTGAAGACATGTCTTTTGTAGACATACTCATTCTTTTCATTTCAAAGTTTGCCCACACAGGAAAGAGAGTAGTTCAGCTTCCCACAGATGAAAATTAAGCATGGTATATATATTTTTATTAATTACTAGTAAAATCATGCAGTTCCGATTGTTGATATCAAAACAGTAAGTTAAAAGTTTTATGTAAACTTTCTTTAGAAAGGTATAGTCAAAATCAGCCCCTTTCTTTACAGGCTTTTAGTTGGAAAAGAAAAAAAATGGACTTGAGGAACAAAGCAAGCAAGAACACACACACATACCCCCATACCCATAGACACCTCACACACAGCCTCATTCTGTCCCTTTGATTTCTGACTTACATTGATAAGTGATGGCCTAAACCTGCACTGTCTGCCATCTGCCCATTCAGTCAACACTCCTAAAAGAAGCATGAGGTTCTCAAAGTAAGAAAAAGACTCATGCTTATCCTAAACCTGGAGGCTGTACACAGGAAGACCTGTTGAACTGTGGGAGAAAATAGATACAATTATTTTCCAGGTATTCACTACATGACATAAATTTTACTGTGTGAGTACCTACTTGCAGCAGTCCACTCTTAGTCCCTAATGCAGGCTGAGAAGAACAGAGTGAAAGATCATGTTTAAAAGGGTAAGTGTTAAGTGTACCTTCTTCTCCCTCTTCAGCCTACGTATATACACTGTCCTTAAGTATTCACTGTGGGAAGGCCCTTGAGTACACTAAGTTATGTTCTACCTAGACACAAGGTCTGACAGAGAACACAAAAGTAAGGGTAGACATGCTGACAGAGAGATGATTCTGCAAGTGGCTGTAAATCTGCTCAGCTTGCTTGGAGACTTGCCTAGTGGGTCGCATGATCAAGATAATAAAAACACAATAATCATGCCATCAAAGAAACCCAGCATGCTTCCTATAGAAGAAACAAGAATAATCTGGAACTACTGATGCTTGTGGCTGGGTTTCTTTGCAGGGCTGTGCATCACCATGACAACCAGGAGGGTAATGCTGCTGCTCCAGCCTGTCATTCTCATTCACAATAATCACAAGGGTTTACAAGCATGAAGTTAATAATGAAATTCAGAAACAATCAGTATTCTGATTATTCTCCTTCTTTATCCAAAAGCATTTTCTGGAGCATTACCAAGGAAGCACTGTACAAGATATTCCTTTGAGTTCTGTCCTAGGAGAGTGAGGATCTCTTGCTTATCAGATGCAACCAACAAGAAACATGCTCAGTTTTTCACAGTACAATGCAGTTAATGTATATAACACAAAAAAGGAAATGGTTCTTGATACTGGGAGTACATCCATTTCCTCTTCAGCTTCTGAGGCACTTAAAAGCTCCATCCAAGACTAAGATTCCAGAAAGAGCTTCTCTTCTTGGTCAAACCCTCAGTGGTGATGCTCTGGAAAAGTTGCTGCAGCAGCAAACTGAGTAGAGAGAGGCCTACACAGAAGCATTACAATCTGTAGACTCCTTTTAACACATACTAAATAACCTCATACTCTGGCACATAATCCTCAGTGGTTTTGGTGACTTCAGTAAAGAACCCAGTGGTGTGTGTCCTGGGCGGTCAGAAGACCTGTACTCAGGTGACAACTATACCCTTACAAGCATGGACATGAAACAAAACAGCGTTTGAGATTCAGTTGTACAACTGCATGAGGGAAGAGCAATGATTCTGGATGTATTCTTGTCCTTGAGAAAGAAAAAGACTGGAAATTACATTCTATCATTGCTATGGAGTTTGGTGTGATATGGGTTTAAGTCTTCTTGTAATCAACAATAGGAATGTCAAGTGACTCTCCAAATGTGGCAGAGGTTTCTATGCTAACAAGTCCAAAATTATAAGGCATTAATCATTGTTGATTTTCTCTCCTGAAAAGTATCAGAAAACATTCTTTTCAAAGGACCATTGTCATAGAAATTCCTCAGGATCTAAAGAATTTCTCAGAGGCCTAAGCTTTAGGGAGAAATTTTCAGCTCTGGTGACAAAAAATTGATCCCTTAATTTATGAACCATTACATTGCAGAAAAAAGCTGTAACCTAAAGGGAGTTTTAACATGCACACACCTCCATTAAAAGTAATAGAAAGGTAAGCTTTTAAACTTCAGGGTATGAGGGACATTACCCAAATCCAATCCACTGACAACAGCCACTTACTAAATCCAAGGAAGCCTGTATTTACTCTACTGCAAAACCTCAAACTAGCAGGAAAATTACTGTTATTTACTTCAGATTGCATTCAGAGGTTTAGTTTAGGCTAGGTAGCAGCACAATCTCTTCACAAACACTGCTGCCCCTCACCTTAGTTCTAATAGGTATTAGGACATGACAGAGACATGTCAAAATGCCCACCAGATTGAGCAAAACACCCAAAGTTAAAAATTTTGGGTACTGGTGTAGGCCCCAGCACCAGAGCTATGGGCTCAATGAAGAGGTTTTACTTTAAAAACATACGAGGCTCCAACAATATCCACCCTCTAGATCCAGTTCATTTAACACCTTAAGAGAAAGCACAAAGGAGATGATGCCGCACAAGTTTTCTTAGAGGGTATTTTACTGGTAAACTTTAAAAAATAAGAGGTCTTGGAAAAGTATAAAGGGTAATATTTCTTGCCTAAAGATCAGGAAAAAGAAACCTCACCGGGCTAATTTAGTATAGATAAGATGGAGAGCAGCTCTTTAATGAAGACATTTTGGTGCTAGTAGTACGAAAAGGTGCGTGCCCCCCTGTCCAGGGGTTCCACAATTTATGGTCTGATCTGAGACCCACCCATCCCCAGACCTGTCCCCCTGGCACACTTCTCCGGAAATTGAGTCAGAGGTCCCAAGACCCCTTTCTTCCTCATCTTCCTCTTCTTCATGGCATGTACATTCTCGAAGGTTCTGGGCTTGAAGGTTGCTTTGACTATGATGGTATCTTGTTTTTCAGGTGCAAATGTTCTTAAACAGAATCTGCTTACTGTTGTCCTGCCTTGAAAGGAGCCTAAACAAGCCTAAAGAATTTAGAAGATTCGATATGAAATAGGGAATAGGGTTTGGTAACTGTTAACTACTATTCTAAAGTGTGACAGGCTATACAGCCATATTAAAATCTAAAAAAAGCTAAAAATCCTAAAAATTCAAAAGCATCGCATGCAACCAAAATAAATCACTCTACAAAGCATTGACTTAGCACATGCTAACACACAGAGTTTAGCAAAATCCAGCACATCCAGTATCAAGGTACTCAAAATATTAAGAAAGGACATTAGAGGAAGAAGAAATAAAGAAAGAGAACAGGAGAAAATTATAGCTACTACCAAGATCCCATGAAAGTCCAGCTACCACGTGTTCAGGTGGCAGGGTCTGAACAAACACACTGATGCCTTTATTGCTTTGGCCCCCTGTGGCCACGCCTCCCCCAGGCAGGACTTGGGATGTTCCAGCTATTCTGGGGCTGGGTCAGGGGCTCCAGGTTGTGGTGTGGACACTGCTCCCAGTGTCCAGTGACTGACAGCTGCCCCAGGGCTGCCCAAGGAATCTCCAAGGGGCTGGGGTGTGGGACAGGGCATCACCTCACCTTTGTGAAATTCAGCCTGTGCCTCCACACACACACACACA